ATGTCAGTTTGTTATGCATAAATGCAGTCATGTACAATTATAAATATTGACATAGAACTACATACATACAACACACTCTCAGAAAAACTACATACATATACTGACACATATTACACATAATTACTCTTACATATTTTCACACACACGTATGCTCTTGCACACATTACAGTCACAGACGAATAAGCACACACACATTTCATAAAACCCTCCTTTTCTACCAGGATCAAAACTTTGTCACTTAGAGATCTGAGTGTCATTTGTAATAAAAGTGCTCTTAGAGGTTTCCTTCTGCTTTTTGGTTGCTGAACGTTGTGGTTAAGTGGGACCTCTCAGCATCTCTTGCAGCCCCATTCTTTGGCAATGAGTCCCTGGTACATGCAGTGGGAGGAACCCTCAGGCCCCAGTCACAGGACGAGGCACTCTGTTTCTGAGCAGATGGAGCTCAAGGCAGGGGTGGCCCTGAGATCTTTTGTTTAATCTTTGTAACCGCTGCCATCCAGGGGCTAGAACAGAGTCTCTCACAGAGAAGCCCTTCAATATTTGTTGAATAAATCCAAGAATTTGTGATTTCCCCCTTAATACGTCCTCTGTCTGATTTTTAAGATTTTATTTATTTATTTATATTCAGAGAGAGATGAAGAGAGGAGAAAGAGGGAGAGAAACATCAATGTGCGATTGCCTCTTGAGCATCCCGTACTGGGGACCTGGTCCACACCCCAGGCAAGTGCCCTGACTGGGAATTGAACCAGTGACCCTTTGGTTCGCAGGCCGGCACTCAATCCACTGAGCGACACCAGCCAGGGCATGATTTTTAAAATTAAATTAAAAAAAATTTTTCTATAATTTCTTGTCTCCTTCTCCTTGCCTGACTTTTAATAGAAGTGCCCACGGTGCTGTGTAGATGTCTTAGAATAAAACCCTCCCTGGAGAGTAGAAAGCCCTGTATAACTTCATAAGGCTCTTAAGGATTTGAAAACTCTTAAATAATCAGAGATTCCAAAACCCTCAGACATTTAGACCAAGGCTCTCACAGACGAATGAGCTGAGACCCAGATGTTAATTTCCCCAAGTTTACCTAGGTCCTTAGTAGCAGAACAGGAACTAGGGCTGCGATCGTCTGACCCCTAGATGAGTGCTACTGTACACTTTTCTCCTTCATTACACTCAACTGGTTCTATTCCAGGGAATAATTCCTTGGTAAGAATAGTAAGAAAACAAGTGAGGAATGATTATACTGGTTTAGGGGGGACATATGTTTACCCTCATGACTTTGAGTGTGATGAAAGACATCTCTGTTATATTATTTCTATAGATTTGAGCTCTGACTTTCAAATTTTCCCGTGTGGTAGGCAGGACCTCTGACGACTCCCCGTGGTTGGTTGCATCTGCCTGGTGGTATTAGAGCGATCTCGCGTTGACAGTGGTTTTTAGCCTTGCCTTACTTAATAGATATGATACAGCTAATGCTGCTGACCACTGTTCCATTAGAACAATAAAACTGCTCTCACTAATTTTGAAGAGTTTAGATTTGTTTTAGAACATTGAATTTTGTTAAAACAATGCTATGATTCATGATGGTAAACATACAGTATCATATGTTTCTTGTCACTTTATAAACTGGAGTTCAACTTTTCCTCCTGTTTTGTTAGTTACTGCATTTGTATTTCTCTGGAGTAGGTTTTTTATTTTTTATTTTTTGAGCAGTGTAAAGGTGAAACATCTCACTCTAGCCATGTCAGACAGTTTACTTGGAAACTTACAGATATATGGTGGAATATGTAAGGGCAATGCATGGTATAACTTTTTCAAACAGCATTAAGAATGATGTGCATTTGTATTTGCATAGTCATGGTCATTCTATAGATGATATAGTATGCTTTCATATTAAATGGTAAAGTGTATGAAATTTAAATACACAGTGTAAACACTCAGATCTGGCAGCTATTAATAGCTAGCACTCTCACTTGAACCACTGTGCCTGCCTCCAAAGACAAATTAACATCATGTTAAATTAAAAAAAAAAAAATTTAAAGCAAACTAGGGTATAGTGAATGCTGACAGTAGTTAAATTAGAGTATGGAACTATGGATGATTTTTCTCTTTCCTCTATTTTCTAAATGTTTTATAATATAGGCTTGTTATTTTTATGCTGAATAAAATACATTTATTATTTTAAAAGACAACAAGAAGAAAGACAGTAATGCACTAATGCTGAGAAATGCGCTCACAGGAGTTCCCCAGGCTGAAGTCCTGCTGTGGAACGTGTTACTGTCATGACGGCTCTTGCCTCCCATTGCCACCCTGCTTTCACTGTAGCGTGTGCCAGTTTATGGGCCTCTTCCTTTTATTGCCCTTGCTGGTCTTAAGGTTCTTTTCTTAATTTTTTTCTTTATAGAAAAGCTATCAGAGTGAAAGTCCTTTTTTCTCTTCTTTATCTCTCTGAACATAATGTCTTCTTGCTTGGCTTCCATGCTGGTTTTGTGTTTTTTGACATAAAAATGTCATCAATTGACTGTTAGTTCTGAAATGATGAATTTTACACCTAGGTATGTGTTAATTGTGACATGTGGTAATTGTACATTATAATATATCACTTTTAAATAAATTCAGAGTTAAAATGGGATGGGCATTGGTGATAATAGAAAGCTGAGGCTCTAAAATCCAGCAAGAAGGAGGACTTGCCCCTGGATTTGGCCAGCTTGATTATGCTGTTGAATTGATGTACGTCATTTCTCACCTCCTGGTAGAGTTAAACAGCTCCTGTGAGTAATTTTGTGCAATGGATCAATGAATTTGTAGATTTATTTTGCTAGTTAAATGTTTCTATCAAATATCCTTATTCACAAAGAAAATGATTTCTTTTTAAGAAAAATTATACTCAGTATCCTTTGAAAACACAGGTGTGAAGACTCACTGACAGCAGCAGAATTAAATCTAGGTCACATTTCATACATGTATGTTGATGGGCACGTGTGTGCATGTGTGTTTGTTCACATACACACACAACTTCAGCTAAGCACTTGTCAAACTGACCCCTATCAGGAGACCCCACCAATGAGCCTTAACTTTGGGCATTGAGGATGCAATTTACCAGGGTGGGAAAAATCTTTATTGCCGTCATCTATAAATGCTTCTATTTTAATGGAGTATCCTTATGGTTGACTTACTAACTTTAACTTTTAGATTTTAAAATACATAAAAGGAAATGATTTAAACTGTGTATAAATTTAACCCATATACCTAACTTGCCTCCTAAATCCTACTTGCTCGTTTATGATGGGGACAAATTTTAGGACCAAAGTCATCATTTTTATTTCATATGTTCTTTTAGTGAATTCTTTACATTTTAACTTACATTTATTTTTCCTAAATATTGGACTTTACTACTAATTAGAGTTGGAGGGGCTGAGGAAATTTTCCTGAAATGGTTTCTCTTGTGATGATCTCTTAGTCTTACTGAAAAGCAACATCAGTTTTGTAATGAGGACGTAACACTTTTATTATCTCAAGAAAAGAGAGCTATTTAAAAATGTGTATCTATATGAGGCAAAAAGGAGGAAAAACAGCCTTCAGGGCACGGGTGAATACTTTTTCCACTCTAGCTAAGCAACCCTCCTCTCCACCTCTGCTAGGAAATGCCGCGTTCAAGAAGCCCTTCCCAGATCAGTTATGGTCTGGGGTGAGAGATTAGGCAAAAGATAGAATAGCTGGGCCTTTTTGGGACTTGCCAGAGGAAATTCTTGGAGCAGTTAGAAGAGCTAGAGAGAGGCAAAATGAGCTGACACCTATACTCTCTCCCTTACTCCTCAGAGTATTTCTGGAGGACACATGTGGAAACATAGTCTCAGGGGAGACTGGAACTGGAGAGTAACTTCGGCCACATGATATCTGTCCTCCAATCAGCATTTCCCCCTAGGTAGCCCTGGGCAGTCCTGTTCTCTCTGTCTCCCTTCCTTTTTCCTTCACACACAAACATACCCAAGATTTTCAAAGTTCACTCTCTTACAGCCTGCTCAGGGACCAAAATATCAATGAACAGTAGACTAAACCATAATGTTTGCCAGGTATTGTTGAAACATAGAAGTCACAAAAGTAAACATAAATATAAATTAAAATTAAAAAATAAAGTCACTGCCAGAGAATTTGGGAAGCAAAGTACCATTTTAATAGATGCACAAATCATAGTTATTTCATTTGAAAAACATCAAACAACTCTAGTGTTTCTGGAAAGTAGACTTGGCATCTGTAGAAATAGTTACATGAATTTGATAAAGACCTTATTCTTTCAGTTCTTATGAGTTACTGTTATAATTAGTAAGGCCAAATTCTAACACAAAGGACTCTAATAAAACATCTTTTGACTGTTAAAATAATTCTCCCAAAACCTCTATTAAGTTTTGCGAATTTCAGGCAAGTTATTTTATCCAAAACTCTGCCCAAGATATATAGTTAGTAATGTGTTGCTATGAAAGCTTTTTGGATGAAAAAAAAACACCAAACCTTGGGTATTAGAATATTTGATTTCCTGGATTTTGGCTCCTCTCTTGCTTGTTTCTCTTTGCTAAACGTTCAGACTGAGTCTTGACTATAATTATCTAATCTTACTCCATTCTTGGAAGTTTAGCCCCTGTAAATAGTGGAAAAGGAGACCCTCCTGAATTGTTATGGTGAATATTTGGCTCTGAATTAAATGAGTGTTTGAATCTCTAAGACTTCAAGTAATGTTGAATTTGGCTGCATACCCTGTGGTTATAATATTTTAAGTCTTTAAAAAAAAAATACATGGGTTCTCTAATAACAATAAGCTTTTTTTTTTTTTTTGCACTGACTAGCTTTTCATTATTACCCTCAGTGTCTACTTCAAACAAATTTTATGCAGTTTACAATTCTATAGCATATGCTTGCTGCCTACAAGCACTTTGTGTGCCTTGGCAGACAGCCGTATATGACACTGAAGAATGATTTCCTGCATGAGTAGTAGAGAATCTTGCTTTTATCCATTTTTCTACTTGAGTTCAACTTTTAAGGTAGGGCTGGGTTAGATCTCTCTTTCTCTTTCTTCCATCCTTCTTCCCTCCTTCTCTCCTTTCCTCCTCCCTCCCTCTCTTCCTTCCCATTTCCTTGCTGCAGCCTCCTTTTACCCTAGGTAGAGTAATTTATGCTGTCACTATTATTGGAGGTTCTTGTCGAGCCATGATAATGTAATACTCGTATAGACAACCCCCGGTGTTTCAGGCTTTTGCCTTCTCCTGAATCCTCACTTATTTTTCCAGTCATTTTGAGTAGGGATCCATTTGTCCTTTGCTCTGTACTTCTGGCAGTAGAGAATTCCTCAAAGTAGAAAATGTGTTGGTTTGTTAGCCTCGTCACTCTTACTGAGACCCTGTTTTGGAAAAATAATAGCTTTTACTTAGCAATAATTGAAATGTGGGCAGGAAATTGAAATTTCCTGCTGGAAAGCAGGAGCAGATGTTTTGAGGATACAGCATGAGACAGTGACGGGAAGAGGTGGTGGGAGCCCTCTGGAGAGAGTGGTAGGTGACAGCGAGGGAGCTGCGGGGTTGGCTGGGCTGGGTGTGCAAACTGCCTCAAGACCTCTGCGGCACAAGAGGCAGGGGATGAATGAGCAGAGCTGCTTCTTAGCCTGAGGACCCTCAGTCCCTCTGTGCCCTAGCCCCTTTTCCCACTTCCAGCCCTTTCATTGCGGGAAGCCACGAGTAAGCTGGGTTGCAAGGCAGTGGGCTGAGTGGAGTAGAAGCTGCTGCTGGAAGAAGTGAGCTGTCTACAGCTGTGTTTGCTCCCCTTTCCTCTTTAGGGCCGGCTGTGCTCATCTTTGTGTCTGGGCGCTTTACACGGACTTGCCTTCTAGCCCAACTGCTGTTCCGTCATTCGATTAATTGGTTGAATTTATTGACCTACCATTGGCCTACTCATTTTTACCGAACACTGCATGGCCTAGATACTTGTGTTCTGAACATACTCTTGAATCATAGAGTGTTAATCTCCAGTAGTCCCAAGAGCAAGTAAAAGATACTTGTTTTGATTAGCATCTAAATGTTTTGCATGAGAGAAATTTTAAAAGGATGAAAGAAATGTATGTAAATGTATGCACACATGTACACATGTGTATGTATGTGCATAAGCACATACATGTATACATTCACACACATATGCATATATATTTACCCACATATTCATGTGTATATTTTATGTATGTAATGTATAAATGGGACCTGGATATCCTTTACTCACTATGGACTTACTAAACTATATATGGAAATAAAAATAAAACATCACATATTATAGTGGAAGTCTTTAAATACCAATCTTACTGTTGATTAACAAATTGAATTAAGTACCATCTTAATGGCAGATTAATATAAATTTTCTATTACCATGCTTTGTTGCCATTTGGGAAAATTATACTATTAACCAGTGTTAAATAGAAAAGCTCCGAATCAGTTATAAATTGAGAACAAATAGCAAAGGCTGAATGTGCTTTGCATAACATTTAGAAATGCTTTGATTCTAATTAAGTCTCTTCCATTAGACATCCCTAACTCTTAATGCCTCTTTCAGAAGACAGTCTTTCATGATGAAGACATGAAGTCAGGAAGAACGGCCTCCAGAGGCACCATGAGGCTTAGTCCACTCCCTCCAGGTTGGTGTCGGCCACTTTGGGCAGCTGGGGTCCAGCTGAGTCCCCTTCTGGAAGGCCCTCTGCTGCTGCAACTGCTTCTGGAGGCTGCCTACTGGGCTCCCACCCAGGCACCCCAGCTGGAAATTGCTCACCTGCTGGGGGTGGTAGAGCAGGACCATTTGCCTCTGTCCCCCATGGGAAGGCCTCTACTGAGGACTCTGGGGCCTGCCCGGAAACTTCTGCCTCTGGAAGGGGCTGCTGATGAGCCAGCACTCCAGTGGGGAGACCCTGGTCTTGGGGCTCTGCTCCAGACCCCACAGGGAGATTACTGGCCCTGGGGGGAGGCTCTGCCTCCTTGCCTCCTTCAACCTCAGCCTGAGAAGGTAGGGGAACTGGGGGACTCTCTGAATGGCAAGAAGAGCTCAGAGAGGGTTGTTCTGGCTCCCTCAGGGCTGCGTCACTGCCCCCTTGCGGACTGCTGCATTCTGGTTGGGATTCTTTGGACCGGTCAAGGGTCAACGCTGAATGATGGATAACTGTGAAGGCTGTGGCCAGGTTTTTCACAGCATTGTGAATACTGTTGAGGTTCTCTGTGTCAGCCTCTTCACCCACAGAAACCGTTGACTCTGGCTCTTCGTCGGAGCTGTGCTGGCTTTGGTCATCCTTCTCAGGCATTTTCGCCTCTCTGATTTTTTTGTAGAGTTCGTTCCTCTCTTCTTGTAAAGCTCGACAGAGATTCTCTAGCCTCCCAATTTTCATCACGAAGCACTCATATTCTTTGGCTCTCAATGCTTTCTGTGATTTGAAAATAAACAGCCACATATAATGTCAGAAACCAAAATTGCCAGGATGTCCTCTGGAGACAAGCAAAACCATTTGTCCAGGAATTTGCCTACCAGGCTCTGGGGTTTGACCACTGAGTAATGGAGTAATGGCTGGACAGGCGCTTGGTCAGAGAATTTTTTTTTTTTTTTTTTTTTTTGCTTTGTGTGCTAGACTCTGGTAGAATTTTAGTCACTCTGGTAGTATTTAGGAAAGAAAGATGGTGAAGCCTCCCTCTGCTTCAGTCCAGAGCCTCTAAAATCATAGATGAATTTTCTACTTGCAAGACTTAGAGGGCGTAAGCTAATGCTTGTGGTGAATGAATGAGACGGACTGGTACTTGGCAGTCAGACTGCTTTATCTATTCTATGGCTACACTGCTATGTGCTAATCCGGCAACTGTTTGATTTATGTTGATGAATAATAAGCTCATGTCTTTGGAATTGGTTGCAATTTGGGATGAATTGTTAGAACAGTAATTATAACCAGAGAAACTCACCACACACTAATTCATAATGCTGGCTGCTCAAAGTGCTCATTTTTCCTTTTCTCTAGAAATGCCAGTGTCTGTGCATAAAATTGTTCCTAATCATCTTACTCCTTCTCCCCATCTTTGTGCTATTTTGCATCTTTTAAGACTTTTTTTACTTGTTTACATGGAGAGACTGCCACCAATAAGTCCTGCCTCTCACGTCAAAGGCCATGTACCTTTGCCTGTATAGTCTCAAAACCTACTCAGAGCCTGACATAATATCAGTGTTTAAATGCCTGTTGGAGGAATTAAACAACATAGCTCCATATCTCTCTATAAAATAACACATACCCTGGGTGCTTGGGCTAGTGTCTTCACTCAGTATGTTCAAATCAATGAATTAATTCATTCTATACCTGTTATATGCCAGGTTCTGGGGAAATGCAGAGACAAGCAAGACACTGGTCAGGCCTTTAAGGAATTCACAGCCCAGCAGGTCTGCTGCCATTTGGGGGACAGCTTTGGAATTGACAAGTGGACAGGTGATTGAAGGGACACGAAGCTCTTCAGGAGTCCAGACCCGGTTCTAAATTACTTTGCTCTAATTACCTTTATTACCATGCCATATATCACATCCCAGAAAAATTGAGCCCTTTTCCAAAGGTGATCATTTTTACTATTAGGGTATAATTTTCTAAGTAGGAATATTTGGCCTAGCCAGGGGAAAATAAGCTGCGGGGGAAGCTTCCTCACCTCTTCAATCATGTCCAGCAGAGCCTTGTTACAGCTCTCAAACCTGGCTTTCCACGTGGCTGTGTCCTTCTCCAGCTTCTTCATTTTCTTAGTCGTCTACAGAAATTAGAGTGTTTTAATATTAATACTGAAGTGTTAACCCAACCAAGAAGCTGTGAGTTCCACATGTGACGTCAAGAAAAGTCCTTTTGTTACAGGTTTCTGAAACAAACATAAGGTCTAGGCAAAGGAATGGAGAGTGGACGGGCAAAGCGATGGTTTATTCCTGAATCATCTCGGTCAGTAGTGAACAAGCGTATTTGCACCAGAGCCAATTCAGGAAAAAGGAAACTGCTTAGGGCCACACTGTTCTGCCACTGGTTTTTCTCTCTTTTAAAATTAAAAAAAAAAATAGCTTAATTGAGTCGCCCAAATAAGCTTGCAATTTAGATGGTTTACTTTCTTGAATAGAGACTGTCATTGAGAAAGTTGGCCTGGCTCCTGAACCACTAAAACGCTGATGGTATCTAGGCACAGCAGAGAAGTGGCCACACAAAGGCAGCTTTCCCGGCCTGTGCATTTGTAGAGTGCAGTAAGGTTCACAGGGTGTGACTATGCACATTTTCCACTTCATCCCTGAAACAGTCCCACGAGAAAGGCTCTGTTTTCGCCTCTCCTTTATAAATGGGGAACTGATGCTCAGAGAGGTGGAGTAGTATTTAGGTGAATTAGCTGGAGGTGGCTGGAGTTATTTCATCCCATCTCATGCAGTGTGTGCAGGTGTCTGCTGGCCTCCAGGCTGGGGCCGCGTGTGCAGGGACGCGGAAGTGATTGAATACAGCCTGTCTTTTTGGAACCTGAAACTGCTCATGTCCCTGATTGTAGGATCTCCTCCCTGCTTAGATGAAGTAAAGAACAAGGCTTGAACCCAGGCACAGTGGATTTACCACAGCTGGCACTTGCTACTTCGTGCCAATCTGCCTGAGGCTGGGTAACCTTGGAGGCCAGAGGCTGGGACCAGCTGTGGGCCCCTGAGCTCGACAGAGAAGCTAGGTGAGCCGTGAGCGGTTTTTCCACTTTGATCATTTCTTAACCAAGTTAGTAGTTTATGAATTTTTGAACGTCATTGACACCTTTAAGAATTTGATGAGTTCTATGGGACCACTCAGAGAAGTGGAAATATGCATATCAATTTTTTTGGCTAATTCTCAGGTTGACTAATAAAAGTCAATAAATGAACTCCAGGTTAAGAACACTCTTTAAGATTTATTCCAATCTTAAAACTCTGTAATTTTGAATTAAAACCTTTTTTCCTGTTTTAATATTTATTTCAATCTTAAAACTCTATAATTAATTTTTAAAAAATAGATAGATCCCATCAGGAGTGGGAAAGCTGTGGCCGTTAACAAGTGTTGGTCTACTTCAGTTTGCTCACTGAATTGTGAAATTTATCTTATTTTATGGAAATGTTTTGAAAGGAATGCTCTCTACGCTTAAAAATGGTTAATGCCAGTGCTCTCAAAACACAATTTTGATGCTCATTTTGTTTTGGGAAAACACTGAATTGAATAAGATTTAAACATTATATCCCACAATAACATGAGCAACATATATTTGTAAAAAAAAACAAACAAAAAATAAACCTTAAAACTTTTAAAAGTTAAAAAGCTTTTAAAGATACATTAATTTAATTTGAACTCCACACTTTTATGAGTAAGGAAGGGAAATAGTGCCTCGAATTATAGATAAAATTGAGGGTGGATTGTCCAACTTCCATCTTATTCAAAGACTCTTTGTCAGTTACATCATACTACATATCTTCACTTCTAGGAAGGATCCTATGGAATGGCATTTTATATCCTAAAATTTTGCTGTTGTATATGAAAGCTTTTTTATCTTTAGAAGATTAGTTTTTTTTTGTTGTTTCATTATAAACAACATAATGTTAAATTGCTAGCTCTTGTTTTTTTGTTTTTTTTTAAAGCTATCCATGGACAAGGAAAAAATATCTTCCTTGGAGTGAAAATGTGTCCTAGTGTTTTTGTACTCACCTTAAGATTAATTCACTAGATACTTACCAATAAAAAAAAATACATTGCAAATCTGATTGGCACCTATAAATGTTTCATTATTTTGTGAAATGCACTGGAATATCTTAGCGAGAGAAAAATGAACCCAAAGGAAAACTGCCTGTCAAAACAGAAAATGTCAATATTTTGTATGGGATAAGCAGTACTCACTTTATCCATTTCCTGTTTGAAAGTGGCAAACACCTCATTGCTTTTTGTCAGTGTGCTCTGGAATTCTTCAAACCTTCCAGAGTAGAGGGTGAGCTGTAAACGGGAAAGAGTGGATCTATTTTAGGGCTGCTTTCAGAAAGTTTCCAGAACAAAACAGCATGTCGTTGTTCATTATTTGTTAAGAAAAATGATTTAAGGGAACTCTCAATACAGTGTTAGTAATAAGTTCAGTTCTTTTATGTTGTACAAGATCAATCTAGGTTAGTCACTATGACTGAAGTAGTTCTTTAAAGAAAAATGAAATAAAAAAATATGTCATTACCACCTTATTATATCATAACTTTTACTAATAAAGATATTTTGAGCTATGAGTGTATGTGTGGACTGTATGTACAAAACTATTTGACATGTGGCTCCTGCTTTTGAGGGATCTACATTCTTCATGGGAAGACAATCCCAAGGACAACTGACCTTTATTCAGATGATGTAAAATGCGAACGCAGAGAAGGAGCCATGTTTTTGTGAAGAAGGTGAGCCTTGAACTTGGTCGTGGGGGAAGTGAGAATGTAGACAAATGAAAAGAAGCGATAAAGGGCACGCGGGCCAGACGTGGACGAGGGCCGCTGCCACGGTGCAGGTTGTACCACTCCAAACAATTGCCATTTCGGTTTTAGACATGTGGTTTTGTATGTTTATAAATACAGCGTTCTGGCCAATAGCTGTTAAATGTCTCTTTTCATCAAAATCAGTTTCTTTTCCCACTTTTCTACAGATGGAAATAATGAGTCTTGAGGAAGGAATGTCTTTTTCTAATTTGCACAAAACCGCATTGTATGGGTTGGCATTGGCAAGTGTGTGGTTCACCATGGGAGTATAGAGAAGAGCCTTTGTACCTCCACATCCTCAATTCCAAAGCTTGCCTTTGGGGTGGAAATGGGGCAGGACAGGAAAGGAAAGTGTGTAAATACTTGATTGTTAGTGACAGTAATATTGTACAATAGTAAAATTTTGCTTTTGAAAATAATTTTAGGATAGCATGTTTTCATTCAGTGATTTAATAAAGATGATTCAAGTGAGTAAAGCCTACATTTTCAAGTGAGCCTTTGGTATCCTTGAGTGCCTGGACCAGCCCCACGTTCTCAAATGTGTACAGAAATGTCTTTTGTATAAAGAAGCAAGCTTGCAATGCCCAGCAACAAATAAGCGCCTGAGCCTGCCCTTGGTAGACTGGGATGGTTGGGTTATTCGCCAGCAGTAGACTATACAGTTCTCAGTCATGGAGGTGGGAGTTAGAGGGAGTGTGTGGGAATCAACCCCTAGAACTCAGAAAATTTGCTTATCCAGAATGGCTCATTCAAAAATGATTCAGAATAGCAGAGGTTTTATTGCAGTAAAGAACAACAAAATGATAACATAAACCCTTTTCATTGAATACAAATTTTCCAAAGAAAAGTCAAACAACAGCTGACTATCATTCTGAAATCATTTGTTAGCACTGTGAGTATGTGATAGAGTTTGGGGCAACCCCAGTGGTCTAAAATTTGATTCTGTGGCAATCAGATTAGAGGAGACTGAGGAAAGGGGCATCAGGGAATTCATAGCCAGGAAGCTTTTACACACAGACACACACTCATGCGCGCACACACTGTGTATAAGACAATACTTTTATTAAATGTGATGCATTCTCAAAACAGATTTAATTGTTTCATTTTTTCAAAAACCTGGTTGGGATTCAATGAATTGATTTCAGGGCCCAATGAGTAGATTAAGCCTCTCAATTTAAGAGACTCTACCCTATTGTAAGTTCCTGTGGGACTGGCTACTAATACTGCACAGGATCCTGTGGCCTAGGGTGGGAGTAACTACCCCCAGCTGATCCTCTTCACTTTCTATTACAAAATCAGTTCATTTACATTCTTGGCTATGCGCTCCAATGAGCACATATTTTACTTTCTCCCCCCACCCCATTTCTCAGTAACTCCAGCAGAGTTGCATGGCAGTCTCAGACACTTGGGTCTCCCGAGCTGATCCTTCCAAGCCCATTCTTGTAGCCCTGTAGTTGCAGGTTGCAGATGGACCACATCCATCCCAGCCAGCCCTCACCTTTATTTAAGCAAAATGTTCTTTTCATTCTATCAGTTGGGAGGATTGAGATGACAGACACATCCAGAGTGCCAGGAAGTAATGTTATGCTTCATTACCACCTCTTCTGGCTTTTTTCTAACTTTTTTTCTTTAAAAAATTTTTTAATTTTGGTAAAATATACATAACATAAAATTGACTTTCTTAACCATTTTACATGTATAGTTAAGTATTGTTAATTATATTCATATTGTTGTGCAACCAATCTCCAGAACGTTCTCATCTTACAAAACTGAAACTCTGTACCCAGTAAACAACAATTTCCCATTTCCCCCTTCTGTTGACTCTTTAATAGTCTGCTTTTCTTCCTATTTGACGCCATTGCCATATGTGTCAAAACCCATGTGGATTATACCTTTTTCAGGTAACCAACTCTAACATTCTACTTACACTAACTAAAAAAGGTACACTTCCTGTTTACTGTATGAATATCTGTTTGCTAGTGTTCCTCCTCTCACTGTCAAACATGATGCATGTTTGTTTTGATGTGTTCCTGCTCTCATTGTGGTATTTCAGAGGAGCGTGGAAGCAACATCCAGAGCTCATCCCCAGCACCTCTCCTGCCAGAGGCAGAAGTCTTAGAAACAAACCCTTCTAGGGTTAGTAATAACAGTAATCATGTCAACATTTCACTTTTAAATGGGCTGAGTGACACATGCATTCTTTTACCCGAGCACCAAATTTAATTACAAACATTCATAGCATAAAGGAAACAAAACTGTGCTCCAGAATTTCCTCAGCAAACTTGAGAGATTTGGTTTGGGAGCAAGTCCAATTATAATAGTATTTTCAGAGGACTCTCCTCCCATATTGATAAGGTGAGGACTTTGGGGTTGAAAGATGATGATTACCCATCTTTAACAATTTACTCACTGATCTTTCCCCTTGGGCAGTATTTTGTGTCTGCATTGTCAGGGATTGCTGATTTTCCACATCTACTACCGTCTTCATCCTTATCGATCCGGTGAACACTCTATTTGTAGTGATGATTGTATCCCATTGATCATTTCTGACATTTACTCTATTGCCCTGGTTTGTATAATTGAAAGTCAGACATCTCTTCCCTAAGTGAGAATCATGCCCCAAACTGGCAAGCTGTTTGACTGGAAAGTGACTTCTATGGAGGAAAACACAATCTATCTTTGGTATGTCTCTTCTCATATGGTAGAAATGGGGACTAAGGCCCCGCTTCCTATCACCCACCCCAAAGGAAGTGTTTGAGAGCTATGCAAAACAACCTGTGACAGATTTCATTTTTCAAGGTTTAAAAGTTTTAAAAATATAATGCTGATACTTTTTTTAGAGGGGGCCTCTATAGTCTTCTTGATGATTAAGTAATTACTGGAGTTCTGAGAGGGCCTTGAAGATAAGAGAGAGACAAAGATGGGTCCCTGTAGAGAGAGCTACATGCCCTGAAAAATAGGGCAAAAGAGGAGAAGGCAGGGTTAACTCAGTTTATTGGCACACTTATTTAGCTGTGGGAGATTGTTACATTCATGACTAGAGATAAACAGATTCTTGAGATCATCTTTTCCTGTGGTTCTTAAACATTTTTGCAAATAGAGACTCCTTTAGACTCATATAACCTTATGTGGGTCCTCACCTATGAAATAATCCTAATATTAGCTCATATAATAACTCTTAGCATTTTTATTAACATTGTTAAAACTAGATTGTACGTTTATTTAGGCAGAGGTTTTTGTCTCTTATTGATTACTATATCTGCAACACCTAGAAACATGCCTTGCCCTTAGTAGGTGCTCGATAAACATAAGTTGAATTAAGTATGTTTATTATGGTCTAGTCACTGAGCTAAGTGTTTTGCATGCATAATTGGAAAAAAGCTATATATTACATATTCATGAATTCATTTTTCTCTTAAAAACTTAAACATATGAATAATTGCCACTCATAGTTGCTGACTGAGAGCTGATATAATGTCAAAAACGGCTACATTTTTTACATAGCAGCAGCTGCCCTATGTGCCGTTATGTTTTGGAGATACTGAAAAGTAATGGGCCTCCCAGAGGTCAGAGGGCTCCAGCTTGGGATCATTGAATGCATTACATCATCCTTTGTTTACAGACAAGGATATTTAGGTTCAGGGAGGCTTAGACGCAAGGCACAGGGTCACACAACTTTTCAGCAGAAGAGCCAGGACTCTGCTCCTGGTCCCGGGACTCAGTCCAGTATTGAGGGATGAGTGAGAAACATTGGCAAGTCTAGAACCCCTGGTAGAAGCTTTTCCAAGTCTGAGGAGCTATTGGTGGAAAATTAGAGCCCAATTTTATGTTTTTATTTTATAGGTCATTAAAGGCCTAGATTCTCATGCCAACTGAATGAAGCACTCTCTAGTCTGGAGTCTGATGATATTAAAATATTCTTCTCAAGTTCATTATCTTCATTTAGCAAAGAGGAGTAGAGATTGCTTATAACACGATGTGAACAATGTGTAGCTTCAAGTATTGTCTATTGTACCCGTCTGGGCTCTGAGTTGTGAATGGGGCAGACAGAGAGCCAGAAGCCCTGGCTTGATTCTTCAGACTTGCCCTAAGTCGGTGAGGTCACATGTCCTTCCCCTGCCTGTCTCTGCCACCTCTGGCTGCCACCTACCCCACACAATGATGTGGTAGGCTCTGTGACTGCCTGAAGGATGATCTTGAGTTTAGTCTTTGAACCCTTGGTCCCTCCATTCTATTAACAGTCAAAAACTTTATGGCTCCAATGTCTATGTAATTAGTATTTTAAAAGTATTTTGATATATTACCAGGGGAAAACAGTTCATTGTTGCATTCAGTATATACATGGGAAAAGTATGGTTTAGGAAGGTTAGACACCCAAATTGTTGTCTGTGATTTTGTCGATGGGGCGGTATCATTTGTGATTTTAACTTTCTTGGTTTTTCTCATTTTCTTTTCTTTTGCTATAAACAAGTATTCAGCAGTCAGCACATAAACATTTACAAGTGAATTTCTCAGCTCTTAAATTAATGCTGTCCAGCTCGGAAGGCCTCTGATCTCCTCACCTTCAGTGGATTTGTTCTAGGGGGCTGCTCAGTGCAGGTGGGGCTCTGGCCCCCCTGCCAGGGGAAGGGGGGCCAGAGCCCCTCTGTAGGCCACGCCAGGATGGCTCTCCTGGAACCTGACAGGGATGGTTTGCCGGCAGGGGTGGCTCCCTGAGGGCCCAGGAAAGAGAGATAGGCCTGGCTTTCCCCCAGGGTCAGACGTTGCATGAGGCTTTATTTTTGAGTCTGAAAGATGAAGTTCCATAATCCACTCAAAACACACCCAGGACATCATAAATGAAAATCCTTCCTCACTTGTCTGCCATTTAGTTATTCGCCACTGAGAGAGCGAGCCTCTGAGAACACAGGAACTTGGGCGCTGACTCTATTTTTATAATTTCCTTTTATTATAAATAATACCAAATAGGCAAGGACATTTTCAGTGTTGACAATTAGAGATGGTACAGCTGAACAGTTTACAGTCAAACCTTACCTTAATAGGGTAATGGGAGAAGAGCGAGAGAGAACATATGAACAGATGGGTGGGAACCTGGGTACTGGCTTATTCTCATAGACCATGTTGGTGCCCTTATTTGCATGTCAGCAGACCTTTCGACTGGATGTTGTTGGTGCAGAGCCACTTATTTTTCTTAGATATAACATCGTGATTTTATTTTTACTTAATAATGTGTAGGAAGTTATACTTCATTGGCAATTTCTGTCCCCAGCTCCCCCTGCCACATGCAGGCCTTCTGCAGGCCACCTGTAGGCCACAGCCTCTTTACTGGGGACAGAAGGAGAGCACACCCCATGCATTGTCCCCCCACTTCACCTGAGCCTGCAGGACTGTCTCTTGCTCCTTCAGCATTTTGGCCTGAAGTTTCCACTCTGCTGCCTGGTTCAGCAACTATGAGAAGAGAGAATGCAGGGAAAGGCTGTCAAATTGTCTTTTAAATTACCATTTGGTTTTAATTTGTGTATAAAACATAGTAACTTGCTAATTAGCCTACTCAAGTAATTGTTGAGGAACTTTGTGAAGACTAAAAAACCTAAGAAAACAACTAGTCTCAATAGCTGGATTCTCAACTAAAAATTAGTGGTTTTCTTGGGGGGAAAAGGGGAAATCATTTTCAAGACAAGCATGAATCACACAAAAATTCTAACTCCCACCAAATTCTAGAACCTTCTCTAGCAATCCCGCCCAACCATCATTCAGTCTCTGCTTGATCATCTTAAGAACCTCCTCACCTGGGGCACTGTTGTGAGCAAATGTTCCTTTAGAGTAAACCCAAAATTAGTCCCCTAACCGGTGTTCTGCACCATAGCATGCATCAGAATCTGTAACGGAGTGTGTGCAAATGCTGATTCCTCCCAGAGAACATGAGTTGGGAAGTTTAGGGTGTGTGATTGCAATCCATACTTACAGCAAATACCCAGGATGGTTTGGCTATTAGTGGTCCATGGATTACATTTTGAGAAAAACTGTGTTAGACATTTGACCTATTGTCCCAAATCCTGTATAAGGTTTACAAAATAAATCCAGTCTAATTTTACAGAATAAGGTACCTCTTCCATAAGGTAGCCTTTCAAATACAATCAAGGCTCTCCTAAGAAACAGGATCAGAACTCAGAGCTGAGGGATTACATTGAAAAGGTTGTTTTAGGCATAAAAATGACACAAATGTTATTTTAACCTAAGGCATATGCTCATTTATTTATCCATTTTGATGGAGGGCTCTGGTGTTTGTTTTGGATGTGGACCTTCATGATGTAATACAGCAGAATTTGTTCTGCCTTTTTTATAAAAACGATATCCATAATATGCCATATAAGATTTAGATTTTTTTCTTTATTAAACAGAAGTGTTAGAACCTGAAGACCAAAAGATAATTGTGAAACAGCTTGATTGTTTACTTCTGTAGAGTTTTACAGCTTTCTCCCAGTCTTTTATTAGCTGCTAATATCTAGTTCGACAATCTTTTCTTGCACTTTGCTTATATCCCATCTTTCAAAGCCTTAAGCATAATTTTCATAGAAACCACTTTCTTTCCATACTTCTTTTTAGTAAATGTATGCTCCTGTTGATTTACATAACACACACACAAGGATAACTGGAAAGAAAAGGTTTGAGAGCAGGGGGCTGATTCTTGGTCAGCCCCATCTTACTTAACTGGGGAAACCATGTGTAGAGTGCGCAGAGCAGCTCACTGGCCTGCCACAGGGTTCAGCATGCTCATGTCAGCAGTGCGTTCACAGAGAGAATGGTGAATGTCACGGATTAGTCTGGTTAGTCAGTGAAGTGGCTGTCAGTTAAGAAGATCCTATTGAAATATTTGAAGATTCTATCAATATATTTGAAAATAGGTTGACTTAAGTTTTTTCTTTGCCTTTGTCTCTATTGCAAAAAAGTATCCACGGGGTCCATGTATTCCTTTTGTAATCAGAATGACAACAGAAAGCTCAACAAAATCATTATTTTTAAGAACCTGAAGACATTTTTTTCCTACCCAAGTTTGTCTTTTTTCCCATGGCCCAACTTCTCCATTTGTTCCTCTGTGCCTCCCGGCATGCGGTGAAGGTGAATTGTTACAGAAGTGAAATACTTTGAGTGCTCTGGGGCAGCTGGGAGGTGGAAGACCTGCAGTGTCCCCTTTGGCCATCTGAATGGCGTGGTGGCCATGTGCATGGCCCCTGCCTCCCTAAGCGGGTTGAGCAGTCCTGTTGTGCTGGGTGGTCCCTGATGGAGAGGAGGCAGACGGCTGCCTGTTCTACTTGGAATGAAGGAGCTTCCCAGCTCTGACTTCATTTCATCACTCGCAGAGAAAAGCACCAGAGCTAGAAACAGGGTAGGTGGCCGGCCAGCTTTGAAGGACTGAGGGGGGGGCTACTATTCTTTGACCCACAACCTGCTATGATTTACTAAACCAGGGTAGGAGAATAGACAGCGTGGTGGTTTCTTGCTAAGACTGGATCACCCCACGTCTGCCCCTTTGTCTCCCTCACTTGAACCTTTGCCCAGATGTTCCTTTGTTATGTCTCATATGTTATATATCGAAGGTACTGATTCTATAGGAAGCAATTTTACCTAATAGGGTAATTATGACAACAGTGGAGTATCTGTTTTCTGGTATGAATAATAATTAAATGTTTTAGTTCTTACTCTGAGAGCTAGGCTGTAGATGGATTAATAAATTCATCTTTTTATTAACAGCACATGGACTTCTGATTTGAAATTATTCAGTGTCCACTAGGTTATGTTCTCCAAAATTCATCCTTTTAACAATTGAAAACCAAAGTTATATCTACATTACTATTCTAACAAATGGAAGTGATTCTGACCTGATTTCCAGTAGGGGTGAAGCTTGTGATCAATTGTTAAATGGTCAGATTCCAGTGATTGGCGCATTGACTGTGTCTCAAATCTCTCTCTCTCACCAGCCATGGACACAAACTTTAACTTTTGCCTCTGAGTATAATGTGCTATCACAGAGCTTGGACTTGGGGACATATACACTTTGGTGTACTATACCTCTCAATCAATTAGCAGTGTGTGACATTAATTAAACAAGTTGCACACCCTCTTTGAGTCTCTCATCTGTGGAATGGCCCTACAGCTGTCTAGGAGTATTTGAGGTGAATGAGATACCACTAAAAGCCACTACTCAGTTTCTTAAACCAGAAACTCAGGAGTCATCCTGACTCCACTCTTTTCTCATTGTGACCATCTTCAGTTCATTGCGTTGCCTGTGGTTTTACACTGAAAACGTAACTTTTATCCATGTCTAGCTCTCCTTCACCACTGCCACCTCCCTAATCCACGCCGCCACCGTAGCTCGTCCAGACTGCTGCAGTGGTCTCCTAACTGTCTTCTCGCGTTGTGGTTCCTCTTTGGTTCATTTTCCACCCAGGAGCCAAATTCATATTTTACAGATGCCAAGCAGATCATGTCCCTTTCTTTGCAAAATCTACCTGGTCCTTTCCCATTATTTTTAGAATAAAATCCAAACTACTTTCCAAGCCTACAAAGCTGTACAACTTGGCCCCTGTTTCCCTCTCCAACTTCATTTTGAAACTTTCTCCCACTGGGTCAACATGTTCTTGGACCTTAACCTTTTCTTATTTCTAGAGGATGTCAAGCTGGTTCCAGCATCAGGTCTTTTGTCGCTGCTACAGACATTGCTGCTGCAGACATCCTTCTCATCGGGTAGGGCTCAGCTCAAGCCATCTCTGGTCACCCGGTCTAAAGTAGGTCCCTTCCTTCTGCCCTTCTCAGTTCCTGCGCCTTTCCCTTGTAGCACTTACTATTATCTGAAATTACCCTTCCTTGTTTGCTTGCTTGTTAATTGCTTATCTCCTTCCAGTTAGCTTCCAGTGTCCGTGATGGGTCATGACCTTCTCCATCTTGTTCACCACTATACCCCAGCACCCAGGATGGAGCTTAGCCTATGACTGGCACTGGGAAAAGATCTGTTGAATGGACGCACGATTATTTTATGTAGAAAGTAGCTTAGGTACAGTGCCTCCTACTGGGCTGGCCAATTTAGTCTCCAGCGGAGCTCAGGCCCTTTTTCCATCAGTCTGGGGCTCTGCGACCATTCTCAAAAACAACTTCCTCATAGGCTCTCTGACCCCGAGGCAGACCAGACAAGCACACTGACTCAGACGATAAGTACATATTCCTTTTCGCGTTTATGTCGCTCCTCTGCCTCCTTCATCATTTCTTGCGCCTGCTCGAGTTTCGCATCCACCAGCTTCTGCTGCAGTTCTCTGTGCTTGAATATTTTGTCCAGATGCTAAGGAAAAAACAAAGTGCATATATTAAGCTTGATTTGTCATTGGTGCTGAAAAATGTAAAATAAAAAAGTAATATTAATTTAACACACATTCTCCATGTTTTAAGATTTTAAAGAAGAGGGGAATAAAGGAATTGGCGTCCACTTATGGCTTTGTAGAAAAGCCATAAATTGGTGAAGTTCCCTGAATTTTGCCAGAGTTCAGCAATTGTAACTCCAAAGGCCCCAGCCTTATTTTTCTAAACTTGGTGACTATTAGATAATCTATTTATCATGCTAGATAGCATAGAGAGGGATGTATATATTAACAGCACTATCATTCAGTATTTTGGCTCTATGGCTATAAAACCACCTTTAAGCACAACATTAATACAATTTATCATGGTGAATTCTCCTTCACATCCTCCACATTCTTGCTTTGAGGGCTGTGAGGAAGCCCCGGGGGACCAGCCCGTGGCCCCGGATCAGGGACAAAGGCAGGAGCCCCCTGAGTCCGACTCTAGTGGGCAAGTCAAGGCCAAGGGTCACAGATGAGTTGATAAGAACATGTGCTCCTGTGTGACTCTACACCTTTTGACCTCTCTGCTAGCTTGGTAAAGAGTAGCTTCCAACTCTATTCCAGTGTGGGGAGCTTCTTGGTCATTAGGAAGTCCCATCGGCAAGAGGAAATGTGGAATTCTACCCTTGGGTCTTACCTAGCACCAGACCCAGGAATATACAACTAGTCTACCAAGCCATTCCCACCTGAGATCTTTCTGAAGAGTATGGCTATTTTCTTTTTAGCACCTTTCCTCTTGCTTCCGTCTAAACCTCTGCTCTGGAGCAGGGTTGATCTTCCTGATAAGCTGAAGTGTTCACACAGCATTTGGGCTTATGATGAAGAGTTTCTTGATTTACCTAAGTGGTACAACCATGTGCCATTGGCTCAGTTGTTTTCTTAGCATGTTGCCAAGAGGGCCACTTTGACTAAGTTATATTACATTTTAAAACAAATTTGAAATTTGGGAGGGATGAGGAAAGAAATATGAAATGTCAAAATCCTGAAGGGCCTTCTGGAGTCTTAAAAACATGTCAAATATTAAAATATAACTTTGGAATAATGAAAGAACCCTGATAGTCCCCTTAACGTAAACTATTGAAAGCAAAACTCTTTTGGATTTTGAACCATGGGTGATTTAATCTCATAGTCCCAGGTTTCCATCTATAAAATATGGATAATATGTCATTATCTAGTGCATAAGATTGTTGAGAGAATTAAATGACATGTATAGTTTTTAGCACATGGCCCAGACTAAACTCTCAATAAATAATACCATGATAACTATAATTATTACATTATTGATACTAGTATTGGCTTGTGGGGTATGTAGAATACAGATCCTTAATGATATATTGATTCTTAAGAGGGTGTGTGTGATGTTTCTTGGCTCTGTAGAGAGCATTAAAAAAGGCTGAGGATTACTGTACTCACAGCCTACCGCTTTCTATTTATTGCCTTTGCTTTGCAGTGATTTCAGTTTTGAAGACATTCCATATGACTTTCAGCCAGGTATTTTGCAATCCCATCTGTTTTTATTTGGCTAGTGGAAGAAACCCAATCCTAAATATTAATCAATTGAGAAGGCTTGCCATAACTTTCTTATTAACCACGTTCCCCACCTTCACAACCCAGATCAGGATCCATATCCAGTGCTTCTTAAGTTGTTTGATGTGGCTCTTACCTCCTCTCTGAGCTCATACTGATCAATGATGCTTTTCAGTTTCTCTGCAAGCTCTGTGTTCTCCTGACATAGCTTCATATTTCGCTCACTCTGCTGCTCAATCTGACCCTGGATATCTGTCAGGGTACTCTGGAAATGATTTGTGATCTCCTTTCTTTTCTCTTCTTCCTCCCGTGCCCGCTGAAGGGTTTCCTCCTGTGAATAAAAAGCGATTTTTTTTTTGTTATACTGGCTTATGTGCACCCTGGGTTTATAGAACTCAGGCTTAGGTCCATGAAAGGGGATTCGTGTGCATGGGCAAGCAGGATGGTTTTTCTCCATTCTCTGGAGCTATGTTGCTCAGCCCCCAAATAAACGTATGAGCAAAGGTTTCAGTTTTGAATAGACAGTCACTCAGAGCAGGTGCAGTGAGTCTAAACTTTGATCGCTGGTGATGAATAGGCTTCTTTAACGATGATGGGTCTCCTGTGGAGTGAATAAACTGCTGCGATTCCTAACAAACATGCAGTCACCTGGTTTTGATGCTTTGGCTGTAGCCTGGGAAAAAAGGCTACTCGGTTTTACTGAAAGATGAGACAGATCATGCGTTCCTTTGGTTGGTACAGAAAGAAGAATAGCCCTTATGTTCCCCTATAAAAATGATGGGACGTGAACCATATCATTGTGTTACCCAAGTTTTGTAAATATAAGTGGTTATAATATAAACTTTTCCTTGGTAAGAAAAAACTTTCATCAAAAAGCTTGAAAAGGAAACTAAGATAGCTAGAGATCAATTACAGCAATCAAAAATGGAAAGGAAATCTTAGGAAATATGCTGGATATTTTATTTCTGAAGAATAATCATCCCACGTGTCATGTAGGGTAATTGAAACATTCAATGTAAATTTTGAATTTGAAAGCAATATTAAGTTTCAAATCTTTAACTCTAAAATGAAACATCTAATTTCCCCACTTCCACTTTGTTAACATTTAAGAATTGGAAATTAGCTTTTATGTGATTTCTGTTCTTTTTTTCTCCTAAATCACAACTTTCCTTTCATTGCTAACTACTAACAATGCACCCGCATTTCTCCCATATCTATATTGAGAATTGTTTGCTTTGTGATTATTCCTCTCATTCTTTTAGAATAAAAGGGTTTAATCTTCCTCTATCATACCAAAGATAGAGACACTGCTGACAAGTGATACAGACATTTTTAGGGTTCCTTTCAGTTCTGATTAATTGTTATTATGAAAGCTTGCTTCATTGTTGGCAAGTAAAATTATACTGCATTTAGTTCCCTACTGCTATCAAATTAGGTAGCAAGATTTAAGAAAAAGAAATGATGATTTAAACAGAAGTAATTGTGTAAATCTTTATTATGATAGTAGAATGATGTGATCAAAATAAAACTGATATTGAGAATATAAGCTCTGGAAATATTTTAATTTATCATTAGGTGTTCTCTTTCTTCTACAGTATTAACATAGTTTCTAACTGTAATATGACTCCTGATACCAGAATTAAAATTTATTCATGGTATAAAAATTTCTTGACACTATCTTAGGGATATTGTAGAAGATAGTTGTCCTTCCTAATCTAAAGGAATTCACTATCTGAGGTCTTATCTCTCTGAACTTTGTATGCTAATACTTATTATATATTCTTTCATTAAAAATGATTATGGCCATTTGTTAAGAACAATCAAACATACAGATGGTACTGATTGTTTCCTCATTGCTCCTGATGAGCTTAGAAGTCAACAAGTTCCTGGTCATAGCACTACAGACCATGGTCTGAATGACATTTGCATTCATAACAATTCCATCCATGAATGAGTAAGTCAATGGAAGAAGTATCTTGTGCTTATTCAGTAACTCTTGAGTTTTTCACTGGCAACTGGACACAGGAAGAAGGTATAAATGTCATGAAGGCATTGGGCACACGTCAAATCATCATAGCACACATTGCTGGCCCACAAAAGGGCACCTTGTATTTTACATTGAACTTTTTTCTTTCTTTTTTTTTTAAAGTTTTTTCATTATATTTTTTTCCATTACCATTTATTCCCCTTACATCCCCACCCCCACAATCACCACACTGCTGTCCATGTACATGAGTCTTTTTTCCTTTTTGCTTGTTCCCTCCACTCCCTAACTACCACTCCCCATCCCCACTGCCCCAGAGCAATCAGCCTGCTCTCTTTCTATGAGTCTGTCTCTATTGTGCATGTTAGTTCAACTTGTTCATTAGATTCCACATATAAGTGAAATCCAATGATAATTGTCTTTCTATGACTGACATTTCATTTAGCATAATGTTCTCCAGGTCCACCCATACTATCTCGCAGGGTAAAATTGTCTTCTTTTTTATGGCTGTTATTCCATTGTGTAAATGCTCCAGAGTTGTTTTATCCATTCATCTACTGATGGATACTTGGGCTGCTTCCATATCTTGGCAACTGTAAATAATGCTGCAATGAACATAGGGATGCTTATGTTCTTTCAAATTAGTGTTTTGGATTTCTTTGGATATATTCCCAGAAGTGAGATTGCTGGGTCAAATGAAACTTCTACTTTTAATTTTTTGAGGTCTCTCTATACTGCTTTTTACAGTGGCTGAATTGTTTCTCAGTGAGAGAAAAATAAATCTAGCACATTCTTATAAAATTTGATTCAATTTGTAAAAAACAAAAGTAATCATTTAAATGGTGTCTGAGATAAAATTTTCTTTATCAAGCATATTATTCAAAGTGAGAGTTAATGCAAAGAAGATTGAAGAACAAAGTTTGAATACTTAAGAAAATAAACTTTGTAAGCATCATTTTCCATCTTAGAACAGGTGCTATGCCTGGCATGTGATCTATAGGTGTTCAGTAAATGTTTTTTTAATGAATCAATGAATTATTAATCTATATATAGGCATATGAATAGCTTGAACTAGATGATTCCTATAATGCTTTCCACATTAAGATTCTGTGAAATCCTGTGATAATAAATCATACTTATTCCTCTACTAAAATCATGTTGCCTGAGACACTCATCTATTCCGTACAGGGCGGTTCTTTTCTAGTATAATTGGGGGCTCAGATTTATTGCTTTGAATATATGCAGTATTTTGTTGAAATGAATCCATATCTCAGACTTTAACTGATCTTTTTCTAAATTATTTTAAATGGTGAGATTTTGTGGAATTTTTTTTGATTTACTGAAGAATCAATTTTAATGAGGAATAGTAAAAGCTAAATTTTATGGTAGTGGAAAGAGCCTATTATGTGTTCTCCTTCTGTATCTTCCCAAGCTCCTAGCCCATGGATTTTCAATTTAGCTGTACTTCGACTATTTCACTAGTCTGGCCAAGGAAGCTTATACCACACTCACCCTTCCGCAGATAACAGCTATACACTCTGGACAAAGTATAAGAAACAATTACCTAATGACACTGGAGAGTAAATAAAATCAGGCAGATTCTGGAGGGAAGTTCATACCTCTAAAAAGGGAATTACACATTATAAGTTTACTATTTTTATTGCTTTTAGCTTGAGGAAAGACTGCAATTGGCAGCTGCATGGAGTGGGTTTTTCCGGTCTGAAGATTAAGACTACAGAGTTTTGGGTAACTACAGCTACTGGAAGGTGGGGGAGATTTCCAGGGAGGAGACAGACAGAGTGAGAAAGGCATAAATTCTTTGAATGAACTCTGCCCAAATTTTTGACTGACCCTATATCACAAATATGCATGGTAGATTCAAAGCAGTTTATTAAGGAAAAAAGAAAGGAACTAAGATTTGGGTTGCTGTCCAAGAGTAAGAATTTGTAGTTTGACTCTAACCAAGTTAATTGCCTGCTTAAAAAAATATTCAACAGTTTTCAAGGAGCATACTAGAAACTATATTCTCTACAACGTAACAGCCACAACATCCAGGACATAATTAGCAGTAACTTAGAAGAGCCAGTAAATGTGACCCATTCTAAAAAGAAAAAATAATCAGAGGATGCTTATTCCAAAATAACCCAGATGTGGAATATTTAGACTAGGATTTTAAAACAAGTATTAAACTATGCTCATTGATATAAAAGAAAATATTATTTCAATGAATGAAAAAATAGGGAATCTCAGGAAAGAAAAATTATAAGAAAGAAGCATATGGAAAGTCTAAAGTAAAAAGTTACAAAATATGGAATTTAAATATCACTGGGTGGACTTAGAGCAGAATAGACATTAGAGAGGAAAGAGTGAATATGAAGATAGATAATATAAATGATTTAACCTGAATATAAAAAAGAAAAAGGATTTTTGAAAAACATAAAGAGAGACTTGCGGATCTGTGAGACAATATTAAAAGATCTAACACAAAGGGAATGAGAATCTTAGAAGGAAAGGAGAGACAATGGGACAAAAATGATTTTAAAAAATAATGGCTGAAACTCCCCCAAATTTGGTGAATGACATAATTTAAAGGTACAAGAGCCTCAGAAAACCTGAAGCAGGCTAAACATGAAGCAAACCACAGCTAAGCATCAGCCATTCAGCATCCTAAAAGATTAATAGAAAAACCTTAAAAGTATCCAGAGGTAAATGATTACACATAGGGAAACAAAAATTCAAATTATTGTTGACTTCCATTATTAAGTTATGGAGGCCAGAATACAGAATCTATAAAAGGCTGAGATAAAGACAGAAAAGAAAAAAATCCTTGTCAACCCAGAATTCTGTATCTAATGAATATAGCCTTCAATAATAAAAGCAAAATAAAGACATTTTTAAAGATTAAAAAAACAAGAGAACCAATTACTAGCAGACCTGTACTATAGGAAATGCTAAAGGGATAAATGATAATGGAAAAAATACTAAAGAAAATTTTTTAGGCTTAGGGGAATGATACCAGATACAAATGTTGTTTCAGAAGGAGTAAAAAGCACCAGAAAGGTAATTATCTGGGTCAATAAAAAAGACAGTTTGCCTTTAATTTTTAAAGAAATATATGTACGTGTATATACATATACATGTATATGTATATACATATAGGCACATGAATATATGTAATGTTCAAAGTAAAAATATAAAATTGCCTCCTGGGCTTTATAAATATATGTAAATGTAATACTTATAACAATTATAGCTTAAAGGTAGGGGCAGTAAATGGGTCTATTTAGTTGTACTGTTTCTACATATTATATGAAACAATATAGTTTAACTCTAGGTAGACTGTGAAAAGTTATGAATGTGTATTGTAATCATAGAGAAACAACTAAAAATGCAAAGAGGTATAATTAAAAATCCAAGAGACAAATTACAAAGGAATGAAAAATATTCAAATAATCCTAAGGAAAGCAGGAAAAAAACCCCCAGCAGAAAACAGGTGACAAATAATGAATAAGTAATAAAATGATACATGTATATCTATGTAACCATTCCAATAATGACATTACATGTTAATGGATTAGTATGCTAATTAAATGGCAGATATAAGAATTAAAAAAACAAAGTCCAACTATAAACTATGTATAAAAGATGCACTTTAAATCTAATGATCCAGGTTGAGCATAAGTGGATGGAAAGAGATGTATCATGTAAACAATAAGAATAAGAACACTTGAGTGGCTATATTGATATCATATAATGCAAACATCAGGATAAAGCTTATTACTGAAGGACACTTCATAGTGATAAAACAGTCAAGTTATCAAGGAGGCATAATCATAACTATGTATATACATTATATTAGTACTTCAGAATACATAAAGCAGAAATGGACATAATTAAAAGAAGCTGACAATCCCACAACTATATTAGGAGATTTTTTACATCCATCCCTCAAAAACTGATAGAACAACTAGACAAAACTTCAGTAAGTATATAAATCATCTAGAGCTAATTGTTACTTATGCAACATGCACCTAAGAGCTGAACTGACTCCAGGTGCATATGGTACGTTCATCAAGACAGACAGTAAATGGTGGGCTATACAAACGAACACTTCTAAATAATCCATGGATCAAATAAAAAATCAGAAATTAAGAAATATTTTTTATTTTAATCCTGATTTTGTCACTTAAAATATGCGTGACCTCGGACAACTAATTTGGATTGCCGAGTCTCAGTTTCTTCAATAAAATGGAGATGTTAACAGTTATAAGGTTGTTGTGAAGATTAAATAAATACCATATGGAATGCATTTAGCACAAGTCCTGGTGTAATGGTCCTAAATTTCATTGTCCATAACTGGAAGCCATTATTGAGCGTGTGTGGGCATATACCCACAGGGTTCTTCGCCATTTCCATCATTCTGTCTTTGATTACCACCCAAACGGACCATGGCACATTATCCCACTCTTTAAACCTCTTTGTTGATAAATCTTCCCACTATATCAGATTTAATTTATCTCCTTATTATACAGCTACTGAAAGCCAGGAGATTTATGTAAACACAGAGTGCTATTACTTGAACTCATATATTGAGTTGAGAATGATACTTCCCTTACCAGGCTCCCACCTAACCTGGGTTTTGATTGTCCTGAGAGCAGTGATTGAAGAGATTCCAGAATCCCATCTCCTACGACTCATAATTTGAGATTTAGAGTTGAACTTCATCACACTGGCCTCCCATTTCCAAGATATTAGAAAGCAATTTTCTAATACGAGGAGACATTATCCTCTTCTATTTTTTTCCTAACTTAATTGTACAAACTCAGCAATGATTTTAATCTTTCTGTTTCTTTAAGTATTTCCTTTTAAACACATGCAATAAAACTCTCTCCTAGGAATACTGGTGTCTAATTAATTCTTGTTTGTCAAAAGCTTTAGGATCTTCAGCTGGAAAGGGGGTTGTGGACGCAAGCAGTATTATCTTGGAGAGCCCTGGATCTTGCCTCACTGAATGGCGCTAGTGTCTGTGTGTAATCAAATTAAGCACACTACTAGAGGCTTACATTGTAATTAATGAAACCCATGCAGACTGAGTGAAGTGGTCAGTCTATTATTTTTAGATTGAATAATTAAGTCTGAAGAACTTCAGTGTTTTCTCAAGCAGCTTCTGTTTTCAGATGACTATTGACATTTTGGCTCTCAATTTTGCTTTACCGAGTCAATTAGCTTTGTGTCAATTTATTCATGTCATGCAGATTTCATTATCATATAAAAAAAGTTACATTTTTACAGGTGTGTATTTTAAAGAGTAGAAGGAAGGCCAACCTTAATAAACAAAACTCAACAAGCTCAACATAAGCAAAAGGTAAGGGGAACGGCACACATTTTACTAGGGCCTGTTCTGTGTCAAATACGACATAGGCACTGTATGTATGTGCTGCATTTAATTTTTCTCCAACCGCACAGTGAAATTGGTATGATCACCATTTTTTGGGATGAGGAAACGGGCTTGAGGAGGTAAAATAATTTATTGAAGGTCACGAATGAGCCAGTGGCAGGGCTACTATTTGAGCCCAAGGCCCCCTGATTCTGAAACTCATGCTCTTTGCACGAATGGCAGAGGCCCGCGTCTATGGAGCGTGCAAGTTGTGTTATGCAGGCCTTGGTGACACATACCTTCAGTGTCTTGTTGTGTCTCTGCAGCTCCCGACACAGACTCTCCAGTTTGCTTCGAGCGAGGATGGCTCTGCTGTGTTCACTTTGTAACTGGTCCTTTTCTTTTTGGATTTGACTCTGTTTCTTTTGTAGGAGCTTTAATGTCTTTTGCTCAGTGCGATGTTCATCCAGCTAGACAGGAACATGCAAACGTGAAAGAAAAGGCAGAAATCTCTTTTGAGTCGACAAAAAAGAAGCAAAAAGGGAAATGCCTAAAGATCACTCTGGCTGTTTGGAAGTATTTTCTTTGCTATTATTAGTGTCCCTCTGGAATCAAATGAACCTAACCAGTGTTACCTTTGTAGTACTTGTAGATACGGTTTTCATAGCATAACATTTACAGGTTTTTCATTATTATTATTATTTTAATTTTTATTCTTTTATCTTCTTTTTCATGGTCTAGAAATTAGCTTTATCTTTCTTGAGTCTCTCTAATGATGCCAGTCAGTATCAGAAAGGCATTACTCAAACTCTGTAAACTTCCAGAAGTCGTATTATTAGTGTCTTGCACTGGGCCAGTGGTCAACAATGTGTCTACTTGGTTTACCTCTAGTTTTCAATATTCTTTCTCAAAATAAGCTTATAGCAACTATTTTTAAAAGTAGGAAAGAGAAAAGCACACTCCTGGTAAATAGAAGATGAAGTCTGTGGGTTGTGAGAAAGGGGGAGAAGAGAAGATACCCCTCAACTACCTTAGCATTGACAGTTTGTCACCGAAGTTTCAGAAATAGCCACTGCACAACTTAACAGCATGAATGACTAGTATGTGTAACATGCCCTGCTCTTTGCCCACCCACATGCCCTTCCTACTTGTGGTGAATAAGTCCTGATGGTTGTTTCTGCTGCGCAATTAGTGGGGCTACTTCTCACCCTCCTCCAGCAGCAAATAACTAAGTATCAGAGACGGCATGGAACATGGAACCAGGGTACCTCTGAACTTCCCATCTCAGGATGCTAAAGTTCTGGGGTAGGGTAGCCAGAGAAAAACACAGAACTGGTTAAATTTGAATTCCAAAGAAATAAGGAATAATTTTTCAGTAAAGGTGTACCCAAAGTAGTGCATGAGACATACTTTTACTAAATAAAGTTTACCTGAAATGAAAAGTTAACTGGGAATTTGTGTGTGTGTGTGTGTGTGTGTGTGTAATTTGGCAACATTTTAATGAAATTCTAGACAGGTTGGGGCAGCTTGGGGATCAACCTTCAGAAGCCACCAGAGACAGACACACTAGGAATGTGGATCTCAGACTGACAGTCACTGGGACCGCATGGAAGTGAGAACCCTTTGTCCAGAGCCACTTCCCCTGCTGAGCTCAGTCCTATTGCCTGACTGGTGCTTAAGCAAGGTAGGTACTTGTCATAACAATGACCTTGTGGGCTAGCCAGGAAAAAAGCCCTGGGAAGCCCCTCCATGGGTCAGGACCGTTGTTATTCCTGATGCTTCGCAGCGCTGGAGGCAAACGGGTCCGCAGGGCGACAGGAGTCCTGATGTGTGTCTCAGCCGCTGCCCAACCCTCCCCGCCCCCCCGCCCCGCGAAGAGGCATCCGTTCTTTCTGAAGAACAGGACCCTCACACTTTCTTCAGTTCACGAATTATTTTACCCCTGCTGTGATGAAATGTCCGTGGTGAACCCTTGCCACGTCAAGCTGTGGCTATTCATACCTGATGTTCTGTCTTCATATTTATGGGCAGTATTTAGTTATTAGTGAGAATTAGCATTGGGAAAAACTAGGCCCATATTACTGTAAATAGTGATTAAAATTGATGTCCTTCTTGATGTTCAATTGGAAAATCAATGATATTTTATTATATATTTTTCATGCTCATCTCCTGGGCATGGGAAAGTGAGGTCCTTTCATTTTGTACCATGTTTATTGGATAGGGGTGAAACATCTCATGCTTATGTTTATAGACTAGAAATGACCTATCATCCTTTCTTGAAATTTATTTGTTGTTATTATAGTTATTGCCTTTATGGCTTAGACTTTACTTTTTGAAGATCAAACTGTATTTCAGGGTTTCTCAGCCTTAGGACTCTTGACATTCGGGACAGATAGTTTTTTGTTGCGGGGGTTGCCCCGTGCATTGAGGACTGTTTATCAGCAGCCCTAACCCCTACCCACTAGACGTCGGTAGCGCCTCCCTGCCTCTCATTTGTGACATCCCAAATATCTCCAGACAGATATTGCCTGTTGTCCCATGGTAGGCAAAACTGCCACTTTTCAAGGAACAGTGCCCTGTGTGATTTATCTGAGTGTCAGGAGGAGGATACAGTACACATATCATAAGTTGGAAGACAGGGAATCTGTGCTTGCTCATCAACCATTTAATGTTGTAGTTTACACAAGATCATACACATCTGAGATTTAGCTAGGTCTGTCTTGCGTTGCTCTAAATAAAAACCTTCAACTCTCTGATAACTTCTTATTTTAGAGCGTGGCTAATCTTGTATAATTACTTCAGACTTATGTGAATGCATATGGGGTTTCTTAATGAATGAAAACAAACATATTGCATTTGAGTCAATATGCAGACAGATGCTGGCTTTGTGATTTAATAATGCACTTAGACACAGTTCTGTACAATTGTAACAGGCATATAGGATTTTTGTCCACAAATTCTCTTGTTCTCTCTTTGTACTGTTAAGTTAAAAAAAGCAATGTTAGTGCCAAGAACTAAATTAGAAAAGTATTAGTGATTTTGTTGTAACGACATTAAAATTGAGGATATTTGCAAAAAGCATTTCTCCTAGCTCATTTCTTAATTTAGTCATGAGAAGTTCTTATTTATTAATGAACTTATCCTTATTTATTAATGAATACTATAGTATATAATATTGCAAAATTCTGGATCTGTAAGGATGAGTGAGCTGGAGTGGCAGTTTGTTTCACAGCTTCGAATTTGATGATTTATTCTATGCTAACACATATTTCAGACAGTTTCTATATTAATATTCAAATCAGTGAGCAAGGAAATAGGTTTTAGTCTCCAAGTAAAAGACTGAAATTTCTCATAACATTTTCTTTCTGAAAAGGACATGTAATGGTTTGGTTTGGTTTTTTTTTTTTTGCAATTTTCTCTTATTTTTTAAAAAATAGAGTGATATTTTGGCTTTGAAGTTTGTTATTAGGAATGATACGCATGCCAAAGTTTAGTAAGTAAGGCTTCAATTCAGTAGGATCCCTGGAAAAATAAATTTGTAGGGAAGACTGCTTGGATAGGTGAGTGAGTTAGGTGCAGGGAGTTCCCCGAGACCAGGAAGAGCAGAGTGGAGATGTGATTCTTCTTCAATGGATTGCTGTGGGGCTGCAGCACCATAAATGGCTTCCTGAGTGAGTCTTGAATGCTTCCCAGCCAAGTATGGAGCATGGTGCTAGAAATTAAACATGAGTGGCCTTAGTATGAATTGGTACATTGAAGGGGCAGAGGGGAAATGATTTGAAAAACATTCAAAAGAACAGGATGAACAGATGAGAATGGGAGCCATCTGATTTTGAAAATATTATTTTTGACACCTAACTTATTTTATGGCATTGAAATTGCTCATAGATGGTTAATAGCCAAATTTAATAAGTTGCAATGTACTTGACACTGATACTTGCTTTATTAATTTCTATCATTCTTTTGGAAAGCAATATGGCCATAAAAAAAAGGCATTCATAATGTTTGGTCTAGTAATCCCAATTCTGGAACTTTCCCTAATATCATAAAAAAGAGAGAGCAGAAACAAATAAAATGCCTGATGATGTTCACTGCAGCCAACATGAGAAGGAATCTTAAGTGTTCCCAAATTAGAGAATCAGTGGACATGGCCACTTAATGGAAAATGACAATACTTTTACAAAATATTATGAAGACTTACAAACTGTATGGGAAAATATCTGTGATATGAGCCAAAATACCAGATTCCAAACTACAGCTGATGCTTGAACAACATAGATTTGAATTGTGTGGTTTTACTTATATGTGGATTTTTTTCAATAAATATGTAACATACTATAAATGTATTTTCATACCCTTATGATTTTTAATGACATTTTCTTTTCTCTAGCTTATATTATTGTAAGAATACAGTATATTATATATATATATTTTATATATCAAAATATGTGTTAATTGACTGTTGGTTATTGGTAAGGCTTCCAGTCCACAGTAGGCTATTGGCAATTAAGTCTTTGGAGAGTAAAAATTATATTCAGATTTCTAACTGTGCAGGGGGACTGTGCCCTAAACCCTGTGTTGTTCTAGGGTCAACTGTGTATGTACCTCATGATGGTAATTATACTAAATGGTATCTCTGCATATAGAGGAAAGGAAGATGGATACATTAAAGTTTGTGTGTTAGGTTATGGGATTAGAGAAATTTTTACGTGCATTGTGTATTCAGCATTTTTCTTCCATCATCATGATGTGGTTAATATAATTAAAAATAATTAAAAAGTATTGTTGGCAGAGTTAGGCAATCAGATGGTCACTGGGGGTTCCAGAATTTCCGTGGGTCTACTGCATTGACAATTTAGTATGACATGATGCATCAAGATAAATGAAAGAAAAGGGAAAACAAACAGATTATAACACTGAAGTTAGAGTGGAAGAAAACAGGTCACTCATTAAATTTTACTCCATCAGTAGGGATAAGATGGAATCAGGGACCCGAGGGTTTGTGGGCCTGAAGCTTATTCAGTTTTGGAGACTTTTTTTTTAAAACCAAAAAATGAAAAACAACCCAATTAAGAAAAGAGAAGGATGTCCAGGGTTTCAGAGGTGCCCATGCAAGTGGGAGACCCTGACTCTTCTTCAGCACCTTTGGCCTCCAGGTAAATCTGCCCATGGGAACGAGGCAACCTCTTGCCTGGAGGAATTGATCAGCTGTGTGTGGGCATAAGTTACATTCTGTCACTGCTTCTCTAAGAGAAGTACGTTAATTTTTTTAAAGAAAAGAAACAGGAATTATAGAGAGACACATTACCTCACTTCACTTGAAAGGATGCCACCTCTCAGCTGTGGGTTTCATACACCCCAGGGTACTACACAGACCTCTGATGTCACTCTTTTAGCAAGTGTTTGCAAGGGTTCATTGAAACCAGACATGCTGGCTTCACTGAATGCTCCTTTTTTTCCCAGCTTGCCCATTGGTGGAAAACAATGCACGTCATGGGTTCTCTGATGCCCGGGAGTGGCTTCCCTTCCTCTTAGTAGCCCTGGCTTTTTGAGAGGGAAGACTGACTGGGGAGGACCCAGAACTGGGCATGAAATAGTCCACACCAAACTCTTCACCATGTAGGGGAGAGGAAGAAGTATATATTAAGAAGAATAAATGAATGAATAATTAACCATCTAACTAAAAGTCATCAAGACCAAATGAGAATGTGTCACAAACTGAGGAGGTGAGATGAACTCCACCCTCTGCCTTCCTGAGAGGACCCCCTCCAAAAACCTGGGCACCGCATGGAGTGAAAATTTATGTTGAGTGTGTTTCTGTTCTATTGCAAAGCCAAAAAGAACTTTAAAATATCCAGAATTTTCAATTATCTATAATTCTCTCTCACATCCCCCAAATTATACACGTATGCGAAGGTAGAGTAGATGCCAACACTATCATCTTTCTCCCTTCTGCTATTATTTAGTTTTTCTGTTCCGTTTTCCTTTAAAAATATTCTGCTTTTATGAATTCTAGCCTTGGCTTGTCTGAACTAACCAGTCATGGTCTATAATGATGTACCCCCAAAACTAAGAGCCTCCTCTCTCAGGTCTAACCAGAGCCTGAACCTTTCTGACAAAAAGAGGGAATCAAAAATCTTACCAATTCAGCATACTTCTTGAATAAAAAATCAAGCTTTTCTTCAGGTGTTTGCAACTTGTTCAGATTTTGCATTAGCAAGTTGGCTTCTTTGCCTTAAAAGAAAACAGAAACCCAAAAGACATTTTTAAAAGAAAGCATTGAACTTGAAGTCAGATGATACAGGCTGGAATCTCATATTGCCCATTGGCTAGTTACTCCCCACCCCTGACCAAGCCACTTAACTTCTCTCAGCCTCAGATATAATTTTCTTTTCCTATAAAAAGGGATGACAGCTACTTTACAAAGTAAGTGGGGATTGGTTGAGCAATTTGTGAAAGTATGTGGTACAGTGTCAGGCTCATGCTAGATTTTCAATATAACAGTAGTCCCCAAGAATCTACTCTTACTACTTTCCCCCCATAGTCTAAATGTTTAAAAGAATTTTAAATATTTAGAAAATATTCCAAAGAATTAAAAACACTGGCTTTATGAAAGAATAAACCAACCATTTCCCCACATTAATTAATTTTTTAAAGAAGCAAAACAATCCAGCAGAATTTCTAACTACTATGAAACACCCATCATCTGATACATGTAGTTGCTGTAATTCCAGCACAAAGCAGAGAAACTTAGTTTTGTCTGTCTTTCTTATTTTAATGAAATTTTTTTTGGCTTTGGTGTTCTTTTAGGACCTCATTCCTCTCTTTTTCAGGGAAACCAATTCTCTTGTTTCTGTGCATGAGCCCCTTCCATGAGTTTTAGATGGGAATAACTCTGATCATATTTCCTACCAAGCAAAGAATAAAATCAATAGATAGAGAAAATGGACCCATGACATGCAGGTTCTTGTCCAGGCTTTTCTGTGTCTCTCTGGTTACAGGTTTAGCCTCCTTGTGCCTTCCCTTCTCCCCCTTAGGCCTTAATCTCTGTTGGCAGTTTCATTTCTGTTCCCAGTTGGAGTTTATGCTACATTTAAAAAACTCATCTGTTCATGATTACGTGATGGTAAGTCTCGGATTCTTTCTCCCCCCATCTCATTGTTCTTCCTTTTGTCTTCTTCAGCTCAAACTGCCAGTTTGCCTTTCTGTGGTGCGTGGGAATCTTGTCTTCAAGTAGCCGCTGGGCTGAGCGCTGGGAGGGCGGAGAGGGACCCTGAGGCCTACCTGCACCACTGAGCATAGCTTTTCAAAAGTCTAATCAGGGTGGAACAGACTGACAACTACTCTGTCTAATCAGACTAGGGAGGTCAAGCTGCACAGTAGAACCCATGTTTCCTGATATAAATTTTCTTAAGAATATGAACAACTTAGACAACCTTCCCTTCAAGGACAGGCATTTCCTGTTGGCTGGAATTTTCGCTTTCATCCTGGATAGGCAGATAAATCATGGAATTAGGATTGCTAGATAAAATACAGGGCATGGGATATAGTTAGTCTAAAAAATTTATGTACTGTTTATCTTAAATTAAAAGTTTCCTGAGCATCCTTTGTTTTTATTTGCTAAATCTGGTCACTCCAACTGTCATCAAAAAACTTTAGGTCTAGAAAGAACTTCAAGGATGCATAGACAACGGGTTAACTTTACAGATAAGACCCTCAGGCCCAGAGAGTCCAAAGTTACATGATTAGTACTGGCAGAGCCGAGGCTGGAATCCAAAGTTTGTCTACTTGCTCTAAATCACGTCACTCCCATGTGGAATTCTGATGCCAAGGAAACTGAGAGAAATAAAAGGAAACTGTTTTTTGAAAAAAAATGACCTCATCTCTAACAGCTGGTTTTGTCTATCTTTGCCCAGCATGTCAGTTCAGATTAGAAACATGGCCTAAGACGGGAGAAGGTAGGTGCGAGGTGCCCCACCAGCTCTCCAGTTAGAGCCTGGCATAACACGCTGCCTTTAAACTGATAACCGGTGCTGCTCCACCCCCACCGGGCCTGGGCTCAAGCTATTTCTCTAGCACAGGGATGCGTTTGCATGGTGCAGGTCAGGCCATCCCTTCACTCCCATCTTCAGCCTGTGGAAGGTGCCCATGTGAAGACTGCTGTCCTGAGTTGGTGTCACCTGTTAAAGGTAAGACACTGTACTGCTGATCAGATTAGGTCCAGGATCCTCCACAGTGTTTGGTCCATGGTAAGTGCTCAGTAAATGGTGGTAATAATGGAACAAAACAAAGCCAACCAGTACACATTAGCATCATGTCAATCAAATGGATAGTCTTGAAGACAACTGCGTAATTAGCTAGAGGAAAGCTAGGTCTTATTGTCACTTGTGACATTCAGTTTATGCTAGGATACCTCACAGTATGAATACTGACATGTAAAGCCATTACCTGTAACATTTGCAGGAGATAGAAACACTTGAGTGAGTCCAACGGCTCTCTTTCCTCTCACATTAAGTATCTTTCCTACTTTTTGTTTCTTTAACTATGAGAAGAGGGTTGTCATTTCTGTTTTTTGATCATCACACTTACTGAGATCTCTTCTCATATGCTGTTCATTTGTCTAGAAGATTAACATTCAGAAGCATCAATCTACCTTTCAAAAGTGACTTCTCCCATCAACAAAAAAATCCAAGAAACTGGAATCAGGCACGTGCAGAATTCATAAATTTGTGACACCAAAGAACTTAGTTTTTAAACTTGCATTGATTTTTATGGACTGGGATGGTGTGTGAGATTATCATAGAGCAGAGGAATGGACAAAGATTTGCTCATCTAAGAAAGGCTGTAATTATAGTTCCATGGAAATGGGGTCATTTAGTGACAGTGTGGGACACAAAAGGAAAAATTCCTTTATTCAGGGACACTTATTGAGGAGGGATGATCTGCCTTCTCCCCAATGTGTCATTCGAAAGCAATGTGATTGTGAGATTAGTCATAAAGAAAGCAAGGGGCAGACTTGAAGTCCTCGCTAAAGCTGGGCAAGCTATATGGTGGCATATGGCCACGGCTGTGCAAAATGCTCAGTTTGGTTGAAAGTCTGCATGAAAGTAGAACCACCCACACAGCAAGAACAACCATGTTACATGTGGCTGTGGCTATTAGCACCATTATAAACCGAGGGAGTATCGTAATGCAGAAGAATTATTTCTGCATCAAAGAAACTGAAAACCTTAAATTAAGACAATGAAATCAGCTATATACGTGTTGACTGGGATTTTTCTTAAACTTTGGTGTAGCGATGACTATGCAAAATTTGCTGACAAATTATGTAGATTTAATGAGTGTTCAAAACTATGTTTTTTCTCTTCCAAAATGATCTTTTAGAACTTTGGGGCTAAAATGTGGTCTTGGATACACATGTGCACCTGTCTCCTCCTTTCCTGATTTCTAAAAGTGTTGGAAGAAGCTTAAAGCAGGAAAAGACTTTGAATGTTCTTTTCAAATGTAAGACCCAGACTCATATTTAAATATTAACTTTGTTCTCCCTCTAACATTTAAAGATAATGAGTGTAATACAAATAATTCCTGAGATCCTGTAGATATCTTTTAAGGGAAATACGCATGTATGTACATAGACAGGAAGGATAATAGAGAAAAATTCACACTGGACTCAGGTGGGAGACCTGGGTCCTAGAACTGACTCTGTGTAGTTAATCAACTAGTTGAGGAACTTCTTTTACAGACTCTTAAACTCTTTGGATCTCATTTTTCCTGTCTATAAAATTAGTGAGTTTGCTAACTGGATTCTGATTTCAGCCTCTAAGATTTTATGATTCCATGACTGAAATAGCTTTACCTATTTTTTTCTTGATGTAAATAACAACAACAACAAAACACAGTATTTGGTTGGTGTATTTGTTTACCTCAAATATTTTGGTCCATTTTTAAAATTTTATAAATATTCTCTTACCCCTCACTATCACTTCTCATAGTCATGGTTTTTGTTTAATTGGTTTTATTAACTGTATCAGTTTTGAAAATATGCCTCCCCTGTATTTTCTAGTCACATTGTTTTCCATTAAGCTGACATTTTATTTCCCTTGTATTTTAGTGGCCTTATTTCATGTAATTGGAACTTTGGCTTCTCACTCATTTGGAGAGTGGACCTGGACTTCTTATTAGGTTGGTTGATGATGTGTTTAAACTACTAGTAATTTCTTGGCTATAACTATAAAGAAAAATTTCTTTATAAGAAAAAAACTTTAAGAGTCATATTGGGGAGATTATTCCAGGAAAAATAAAATAAAGCCAATCTTATAATAAAAAAGAAACACACTAGAAAGAGCAGTAAGAACTGGATATATCCTTTCCTAATTCAGCTCAGAAGGGAATACTAATTATTTTGTTTGAGACATTTTTCTCACTCCTTCCACCTACTTCTCTAAACCCTCTTCTCCTTTCAGAATCTGACCCAGGTTTTACCTTCCCTATGAATCTACTCATGAACCTGTTAGTCTCTGCTGATTCTTTTTCTCCAGGAATTTATCTGGTCTCCAACCATCTCTTCCAGAAAATTTAGCATTTGTTTCAAGGCAGCAGTTTATTTCCCTCCCACAATTAAGCTAGAAACCCAGCTAAAATGGATGAAATGGACCACCTGGGAATGTGACCATTCTAAGGCAAAATAAGTAAATGACTGAAGACATTTCAGAATCCCAATGTCCTAGCTGAGGTGCCCTTAAGAAGGCAGAACGGAAACTTGCTTGAATTAGAAAAATGAACACATTAAGTGAGCTAAGTAAATACTCCTCAATTAATATACTGATAATTTTTTATTTTTATATACATTGGATTCTGCAATATTAATGACTTCAGGTTTTCCCCTTGCTTTCATTATGACTGATCTTAAAATCACATCATCTATCTCAATAACATTTTTTTTTCAGTCTTTAAAACTCAAAACTTTCTAGGCCTTTTCCTGACTGGCGTGGCTCAGTCATTTGGAACTTTTTCCTGTAAACCAGAAGGTCATGGGTTTGATTCCCAGTCAAGGCACATGCCCAGTCGGGATGCATGCAAGAGGCAACTGATTGATGTTTCTCTCTCACATCAGTGTTTCTCTCCCCTTCTTCCTCCCTTCCCCTGTCTAGAATCAATAAAAGAAAATTAAAAAAACCTCTCTAGGTTTTCATTTCCCTGTTTATAACATCATTGGTTGGACCCTGAGCTCAGAATGGACCTGCGGATCAGCTCTGCTTTTCTTTTGGGCTTATGCTTCAGACTGATTTCCTACTCAATCAGTTATCAACCTAAATATCAGGAAGTATATTACATGTTACCAGTTTTATGCTTATTACAATGTGGCTTTTGTACAGCGCGCATAATGTTAGCAGAGAAATTATTAATAAGACACTTGTGAGCCCAGCGGGTGGTGTGGGAGAAGCAAGGGGATACTTTAGATGCTAACAGGACATGTCATGTGCCGCTGAATAGGGGATCTGTTTTTATTCCCTTTCACTTCAGAGGCCAAGGAGAAAGTGACTGCAAGCTAAAGAGATAGTGTGTTGATTGTGGGAGGCTATGTAGGCTCTAAAGGAAAAATAAGTTCTGAGTGCTTGGGCTGTAGAGATATTTTCTAAATATTCAGACGTGTTCTGTGAAAGAAGGGTATTTTGGTCCAACAAGTTGAGGAAATGTTGTAAACTATGCCCATCGCTATTGGAGATTTTCATTGTTGTATATATTAAAGATCAGAGAATTCTGTGAGTAGGATAATTTTGACTTGGTCTGAAATCTCAAATATCCCAAAGTTGCAAAGTTTTGGGTTAGAGAGTCAGAACATTACAGCATCTTAAAAACACCAATAAAGCAAAAATTTTCTGCTAAACATGCAATAACTAAAAACTCATCTTTGATCAAATACACAAGGTAAGTTCAAGGATATATCTTTGGGTATGGATAGAATGACTTAATAAAATGCTATAGAAGGTCCAGATAGATTTTAAAAGAAGAACACAGTGGGCACTTCCTATTTTCTCCAAAGGGTAAAGGAAACACTTTTAGAAGCATTAGAACCATTGCTTCTACAATCTGTTTCAAAGTTACCCAGGGTGTTTTGGCCCTAATCCAGATCTACTAATTCCGAATCTCTGTGCTAAGAAGCAGCATTTCTGACAAATTCTGTATTTGATTCTAATGCACAGTTAAGTTGGAAAACCAATGATCTAGATAATAGTGCTGTGCCATTTAACTGAAAAATGGCCAAGGAGCCTATTTAAATCACTTGTAGACAACTGAAATGATATTTAAAATGGTGGTTTGATATTTAGATTAGCCTAAAAATGTTGTTTTAACTCATCTGGTAGCTGCAATAGCACAGTGACTAGGAAAATATGGGGATGGTATTCGGAGGAATGGCATGCAAGGGCCAGCAGCGTGGACGCGTGTAATTGGAGTGGGCCTACCTGTTCACCCTGATTCTCAAACATTGGTTCTGACCAAACACATTCCATTGAAATTTGATAACTTGCGGATAGCAGCAGAATTAGAGTTGTGGAATTTTTTCTCTGATTTTTAAAATTGTTTGGTAATTAAGAGGTTCATGCAGGTTTTGAAATAATTCAGAAACAGAATAGAAACCAAAATTGGCCACCTTTACCTTTACTCCTACTTTCTTTATAACCATTCTCTCAGTACAACTCATTCAAATTCGTATGTAGACGTGGTTTTAGAGGGATAAAGCAAAAGAACTTTCCTGGTTAGGAACACTTGAAATCATTCATCTCTGATGTGATTTTGTATTGTATTTTGGAAAGTTTAACAATGGCAGGTGCAAAGGGACTCTTTTGAGATGCCTTGGAATGAGACGGAAAAATAGCCCTGTAACACAGAGCAACTTTATTCTCCTTCCCAAAGTTCTAAAACACTAGAGTAATTCCAATCTTGCATGCTGGAACTAGATATTACCTGGTTTAATTTTTTTGCTGGGTGGCTCAAATATGCTATTTGAGTGTCTTTTTGCCCTTTTTGAAAGCATTGCCAGCAATGGGTTTTAGGCATCATAACAATGTCCTGTGCCAGCATGGACATACTTTTGGGTTTACAGGTAACTTGTTACTGGAGTCTGAACCCAGTTCTGATTCTAATACCCACAATCTTTCACTCTGCCATGTTGTCTTCAGAAATGAGTAAGATGTGACTTACCGTACTTGATAGATCCTCCATTCAGCTTGGGAGGTAGATAGGTATACAAATGTTTGCTGCAGAAAAGTTAATAAAAAACTAAGGAAGGTGACACAGACTCTACCTGGGCATGTCAGGGAATGAATCACATAGAAGGTGGTATTAATAGTGAGTGTTTGAGTGAAATTCACCAAGGAACACAGGCAGAGGGACATCCATATGCAAAATAACACACTTTGATTCCTAGCTAAAACATTAATTCTCTCACCTTTCACAGCCATTTTCGGTGTCCCTCATGGCTCTCCTAACAATTTTCCTGTACCTGTTCTAGCACTTAGCTCATGTCATCATTAGTTTACTTGCGGTTTTTCTCCCTATACCCAGAGCTCCTTGACTGAAAAACCATGACCACTTACTTATCTTTGTGCACTTAGCACAGGGCCTCATAAAGATGAGACATTAATAAGTTTTTGCTGAACTAATGAAATAACAAGAGTAAGAATATCTTCTGCAATTACAGACATTCTGAAATTGGCACATTTCTGAAGAGTTTTGTTAAATAATAAAATGTTTTATATAGTAATGGGACATAATACTAAGTGATCTGACAATCATTTCATATGTACAAAACAATCCCAACATCTACATTTTGTTTAAATCCAAATTCCACTAACTTTGCTTTAAACAGTTTTCCTTTTATTCAGCCATTCATCTTGACAACAAATATTTATTGAGCACCTACCATGTGCCATCCATTGTCCAAGATACTAGGCTTCTGATGATGTCCCAATATATACAGTTCCTGCCCTTGAAAAAAGACCTAGTGGGGAAGATACCTAATAACCAAATAATCACAAAATAAACATACACTCTTAAATTCTGACTATGCTAGGAAGGAGAGATACATAGTACCAACAGAAACAGAAATCAGTAAGACTTCATCTATAGTTGGGCTAAGAAAATGCCATTTGAGTTGTGAGTTAAATGATGAGGTAAGCGTCCAATGGCTGAACTGGGAGAATGGGTAGGCATATCTAGGTAGAGAACATAGGATATAAGCAGACCCTGTGACAGGTTTAAAGAACCCAAAGAGATGATTAGAATGACTAGTTATTAGGCAGCAGTGGCAGTGACAGTGATAGGGGCAGAGTGTTCAGGAAGGGGATGCTGTAGGGTAGAATGGTGTGAGATAAAGCCAGAAAGAATGGTTTGGGTTAGACCATTAGGGCCGGAAAGACGATGTTAAGAACTCTGGCCTTTGTTTGAAGAACAGTGGGAAGCCATTGAGAGCAGAGAGGAAGTGGGTAACATGATGAAAGTTCGCTTTAGCTCTATTGGGAGAAAGCGGCTGGGGACAAGTGCAGCAAGAGAGTATGTAGGGAAACCCTGAAGGAAGCTGTTGTAGTAATCCAAATATGAGCTGTGTCTTTTAGTAAAGGTTAGAGGAAGAGCCCTTTTGGGGGGATGATTCAAAGAAAAATCATAATATAGAATACAACTACTTGCCTAATCCTTTTAGGATTTTCTTTTCCAATTTTTGCTCTTTATTGCTGACAGGCTCTTTGGCTGTGGGTGGTTCTCCAGAAGCCATGGGTTCTCTCTCAGCCTCTTCAGTGGCTTCCTCACAGTCCCCGTCTTCGTGGTCCACTGGTTCTGTGTTCTCAGGCTGCTCCTTGGCCTTGGCGGAGCTCTCTTTGCCTGCGGAGCGGGCAGCAGACCCGTATGTATTAATGATGTCTTCCAGTTGTCTATTCAACTCTTCAGAGATGTCATGAGCCCCTGATTCAGGTTTCACCTCTGCCTCCTTCAACGGTGCTTGGAGTGCGGATGAGGGGTCTTGATCACCTTGCTTCTCCAGGCCATTTTGACTGGGTGATGGTGAACTGTCCCCCGGAGGTGCTGACTGTGGCTCTCCTGGCAGCTGTACAGAGTGATTAGTCTCCATACTGCGAGCAGTACCTAGTGGCAAGCACAGTCGGGTTTTCTGTAGTTAACCCAGTCACGTGTAAATGATAAGGATATCCCCAAATGAGCACCTGCTAATTACAGTTTCTAATACAGAATGAAAGTACTTTCACAAACCATCAATATTGCACTTGGGTAGGTAGGACCAGTGGGAAGCCATTTTTCTAAATCAGGTCGTACAATTAGCATATTTTTGGTTTCGCTCTTTAAATTCCAGTAGTATCTCCTATTATTGATATTAACAGAGTAATTCAAGATGTTGTTTTTCATGGCTGTATTTATCATTTTGTTTAGAATAGCCAATTTGTGTAACCATTCTCTTAAATAATTCTATACAGATTGACAATTATTGGAAGTACATGGATGTGTATGTTTAAAATATTTACATTAAATGGTGTTATTTTTTTAAACTTAAAATATTTAATACAAGAGCCACTGAACTTTCTAAAATCCTTCATAAGAATAATGTTTCTTAACTATTTTAATCTATAAATGAAGATTTGATTAATAGGAGTATATTGATATAAATGAATTCTTATACTGCACACAGGACATATTTTCTTGCTTTTTCTGGTATTTGCCTTTTCCCAGATGAGCTACATTTATATAATTATCAATGATGAAAACACTTTTTCTGAGGTTCAAACTAGGATCATTTTTGGAATAAGACAATGAGAGCAAGTATAAAGTAACAAATCCTTTAAATTTCTATAATATATTTTTGTTCTAATATAAAAAACTATCTTTTAGAAAACAAGAACAGATTACAACTTCCTCTTTCCACTCAAGAAGCTCTAGGATAACTTAATAATTTTTAAGAAATATCAGTGTTTAATGAACAGGAAGGGAATGAGCTAGAGAAATAATCCAGATATAACACAGGCTCTTTGGAAATAGGGAGCAAAGAATGAGCTGAGTCACAGATTCCAAGGCTATCACCACGCCTAGGCTTGCAATAGGTTTGGCTTAGGCCTTTAAGTTATGCTGCATTTTATTTGTAAGTGATATTTAATGGTGCAGCTGCTGACTATCAGGATAAAAATGTGACAGGGTCCTCATAATGCACAGGTTTTGCTGTCGTGGAAACATGAAAGTAAGAACAGAAACATACTGCTCTATGCCTAGCTTCCCCCTCCTATTCTCAGGGCAGGAGATGTCAAATGCTTCACTGCCAACAAGAACAGAAAATTCAACGTATAGACATCGCCACCCACTTGTGGCCCTCACCAAGTACTCATTAACTTAGAAGGAAGTACTTTTGTCTCTCACACATTTTTTTTTCTATTGAATTTATTGGGATGATGTTGGCTAATAAGATTATATAGGTTTCAGGTATATAATTCTATGATACATCATCTGTATATTGTATGTTTACCACCCCAAGTCAAGACGCCTTCCATCACCATTTATCCCCTTATACCTTCTTCTGCCTCCCCCTCCCCCCGCCCCCGCCGCTCCTTCCTTTAGGTAAATACCATGCCATTGTCTGTGTCTATGGGTTTTTTTGTTTTGCTTAATTCCCTTCACCTTTTCCACCCAGCACCACAACCCACACTGATTCATTTTATCCACCAACTTTATTAACTAATGATACGGTAAACAATTGCCTTATCTTCATCACTGAAATTTCTTAATCCCAGCCACAGCTTGTTGGGTGCACTCATCTATATATAACTATGCCTACCCTGAACTTGGAGAAAGACACATGGCACCTGCTGTCCAGCCAGAGGCTATTTTAAGCTCTTCTAAAAGGAGCCGTGGCATTTAGCACTTTATCCTTGAAAATCAAGGGAAGAGAGTACTTTTTAATGGAAATTGAAAACAGTAAACATTTACTGGCTTAAATTCATATGTGGGTTTTAAAGTGTGAGGAAGTTGTCTTGGAATGTAATGAAATCTAGAGTAAACCAAACTTTCAAGCAATGAATTTAAAACTGACTCTCCATAGGAGTATTAGTGTGGCTAGTCTAAATGCAAGCATTTTGTTTGTATTAGCTTTATTCTTCCTTCATCAGAGACCATAATCGTTGATGTTTTTATATTAATCCCACAGGTAGCCCTTAAACTTCATGCACCATATTTAATTTAAAATGCAATAACTGAGTCATTGTAAACCACAGGACAACTCAATTCTTAAAAGTAATCAAGATAAATCAACAAAAGGGAGAAAAAACAGCCAAAGAACTGTGACTTTTAAATCCCCTCTTTCTAAATTAATGAATTTTACAGCCAAAAAATTATTTCTAAATTTTATCCTCTGCAAACTTTATTGCCTGCTTTTTCCTCCGCTGGGAGAGAATTTTTCCCTTGAACTAGCAGTCCCAGCAGATTATCACACACACACACATCCCTTCCTGAGCAACACATTTTAATTATAAATAAAGCAATGGAAAGTTCTTCAACAGTTCACTGGCAATCGCAATGCTGCAAGTTTCGAACACTACAAACCGCACCCCACATCTTCTCACACTGTTTGGGGGGGGGGCATTTGTCACACTTACCAGAAGGCAAGAAGCTAAGCAGAAAGAGTAAAGGAGAGGCAAAGAGGCAGCAAAAAGCTAGTCAGAACAGCAGCAACAGCAGGCGACAGGCAGGCAAGGCAGCTGTGCTCTTACAAGGGAGAGAGAAACCAAATACACACACATTCACACACACCAGGCAGCAGGAGTGGGGTGGGGGAAGGGAAAGGAACACCGTATGACACAGCAAGAGCTTCAGGAGCTGTCCCCTGGGCAAAAATCTAAGAAAGGAAAAATAAGACTCCATGTTTTATCCTTGAAAAATTTAAACTCTCAGTATATAGCCCCTTTGCCAGTGCAGTTTTTCACCATTGTTGTTCTTTGGGCCAGAGATCAGTTTCCTTATTTCTTGGTTTATTTCCAGTGTGGTCTATGATTCATCTCCTTTTTTCTCTCCTTATGCTAGCTGAATTAGTGTCAGGTTTCTTGTAGGAATCATGGAAATAGAAAACAACGGCATAACAAAAAGGAGGTGGTGCAGCTACTTTAATTCTGATGTCATTGTTTGCTTTGTTTGAAAAACACGAAATACAACTTTAGACGGCTCTCTTGGCAGTGGGTTTAGTGTCATCTTCATGTGCGTGGTAATTGACATGACTTCAGATCCGGCGTCTTAGTCGGGTAGCTGGGCTCACAGCTCAGACGGGCCCTTGGGGTAGCAGTTGCTTTTCCGTCTTTAGTTGGAGGCTTCCCCACCTTCCTAAGCAGTGTTTCCAGGCCTTCCCCACCATTTCTAAACCCTCAAGCTGCTCCTTAATTCCTCTGAAAACGAACCTCATTCACCATAAAATGCTTCTCTTAACCCTACATCCATCCCCCTTTTCTGTCTGTTTCGGGAGAATGTGTTCCCACACTTCTCCAAAGTGGATTCCTCCATCAGAGTTTCTGCTTTTGGGACTGGCTGGCCACGGTGGCACCCCCCGTGGGAGGCGGAATAATGTTGCCCAAATAACGTCTGGATCCTAATCCCAGGGACCAGTGAATATGTTACTTATTTTATATGGTGAAAGGGAATTTGCAGCTGTGATTGAGTTAGGGATATTGAGGTGGGGAGATGACCCAGAATTACCTGGTTGGGCCCAATGTAATCACAAGCATCCTTATAAAAGAAAGACGGAGGGAGGTAGAAGGGTCAGAGTCAGAAAAGTAGATTTGGCAACTCAAACAGAGGCCAGAATTGTGTGGGGTCACAAACCAAGGAGTGTGGGGAGTCTCTGGAAGCTTGGAAAGGCTAGAAAATGAACTTTTCCCTAGATCCCCCAGAAGGAATGCAATCCTGTTGACTCCTGATATTAGCCATGAAACTCATTTGGGATATCTAACCTCCGAAACTGTAAAATGATGAATTTGTGGTTGTGTTTAAGCCCCTAGATTTGTGGCAAATTGTTATTATAGCAAGGAGAAACTAAAATATCCTACCCCATGACTTTCCCCCACCTGTTTCTCCGAGGTCAGGGGAGGCACTGATTATATACAGATTAGTGTACCCAACAAATAGAGGTCAGGATAAAGAAATCTCAGTGATAAAGACAATTAAACTGTTTACTGTATCATTTGTTAATAAAGCTGGTGAATTAAAAAGGGTGAAAAAAAAGGACTTCCTTTTAAGTAATGAGTACTTGGTGAGGGCCACAAGTGGGTGATACTGCATTGAACTGCAGCAAATTGAACCAGTCAGATCTTTCAGTAAACACAGAGTAAATGAGTGATTCTCAAATTAAGTTTTATACACGCACATATTTTATATATATATGTGTGTGTGTGTGTGTATGTGTGTGTGTATATATGCACACACACACATTTTCAACAGAACAACTTATTGTTGAAGTTCATTTAAAGGGAAAAAAAGACATTGCCATGTTTAACTAAATTATTATATTATTATTTATACTCATATATATACACTAATATAAAAATAGGTATAAACTTCTGATGCTTATTGTTATTATATATTATAAACTTCAAAAACATATTACTTAAAACCCTAAAAAATCAAGAAATACAGTTTAAATGGACATTGTCTTTATGTGACAGATAATATTTTGCTGAACCAAGCTGCAACTTAATATGAATATGATATTGACTGTTGAGTTCAAGAACCTCTTCTACAGTGTGTTTTGTAAAGTGATTAATTTTTTTTAACATTCAGTTCAGTCAAATTATTATATAAATTTCATTCATGTTATCTACCATCATTTCAATTTGACTTTCTTTGATACAAATACATCACTTACTGTTCTTTCTCATTTTCCTGCAATTATTAATATAGTGCTACTTGGCACTTGCTAACTTGATTAGATATACACATGATGGTAAAGGCACCAAAATGACAGCTACCCAGGTGATCCAGAATGAGTTTGTATGTTTTTAATTAATTTTTATTAAATTTATTAGGGTGACAGTGGTTAATAAGATCATGTAGATTCCAAATGCGCATTTCCATGATACTAGATCTGCATATTGCACTGTGTCCACCACCTAAAGTCAAACCACCTTCTGTCACTGTATATTATGCCTCCTCCACTTCCCTACGACCCATCCCTCTGGCAATCACCACATTGCTATGTCCACGAGTCTCAGTTTTATATCCCACAATACGAGTGAAATCATATGGTTCTTAGCTTTTTCTGACTGACTTATTTCACTTAGCATAATATTCTCAAGGCCCATCCATGTTGTCACAAATGGCAGTATTTCATCTTTTCTTGTGGCTGAGTACTATTCCATTGTATATATTTACACCGTTTCTTTTTTATCCAGCCCTCTGTCGAAGGATGTGTTGGTTGTTTCCATGTCTTGGCCACCATGAATAATGCTGCAATGAACATTGGGGTGAATATATCTTTGTGAATAAATATTTTCAAGATTTTAGGATAGATATCCATGAGGGGGATTGCTGGGTCGTATGGTAACTCTATTCATAATTTTTTGAGGAACTGCCAGGCTGTTTTCCAAAATGGCTATGCCAAGCTACATTCCCACCTACGTTTTTAATTATAAATGAAATTAATACCAACACACAAACCATGGCTCCCAAGAATCCATCTGTGGCCTGCTAGAGGCCCAAGGATCTGGATTAGAGAAATTAAGAAGACAAATTAACAGAGCTCAGTGCTTATTATAAAATCAACCTTTGTGTACATTTTTTTTTGAAAATGGCATTTTCAATTTTATGCAAACATTACAAAAAATAGTTTAAAAACCAAATGGTGCTAAAAATCTTATCACGAGAAACAATTATCTCTTTCTTCCCCTTGCCATGCTCCACACAAATAGTAAATGATATTAAACTATTGAAGATATTTATTCTGTGACTTACTTTCTCATTTGTAAATACACCTATCTTGGTCTTTGTCAACTCATCAATTTTTGACATTGCCTATTGACTTCCTATAATGATAGATGAAGACAAATTATTGACACCCCCTTTTCTCGCTTTACTTCTCAATAAAACTACATCTTATTTTTAATTCACATTCTATGTTTTCATTATTGAAATAAAATTTACAGCTAAATGAAGTAGAACACCGTGACTATAGTCCCATTCTTTTGAAATTTTCTGTTTTTTTTTCCCTTGGAGTTAATGATTTTTTTTCCCTTCATTAGCTTAATTTTAAGAATACTCTTTCTTCCCTAACTGCACAAGAGCTCTGTAAAATGCCTCTCTATTCAGTCTTCCCTGTGATCACATCTACTTGATGATAGGATACATGTTATAATATTTTCTCAGCACTACCATCCCACATATAAATGCCCTCAGAGCCTTGACTCCCTGCCCCAGGCTGGTTTGGTAACTGTCTCAGTCTACTGCGCAGCTGTGGTCCTAGCACCTCCCCTGCTGTCATCCTGGAAATTCCCTTCATCTCTCTCCTGTTTCCTTATTCCCAGTCTTCCTCTTTCTTGGTTTACTTCCTCATTTAGTGAAACATATTGTCCTTTGGCTTCCTGAGAAAGCATTTATGGGAGACTTTGTATATCTCAAATGCCTTTCTGCTATCCGTATATTTACTCAATAGATAATTTGGCTGGATGTAAACTTTTACAAATGTAAAACAATTTTTTTCGATAAAACTTTTTTTACATTTCCATCAGAAATGTTAAGACATTGTTCCTTCAAAAGTGCAATATTGTTCGTATTCCTGATCTATTTTGTATGATCTATTTAATCTATTTGTGTGACCTATTTCTTTTTTTCCTCTCTGGAACCTTTTAGGGTTTTCTTTTTAACCCTGTTATTATGAAGTTTCACAATGGTAAAATTTGATGTCTTTTTTTTCCCATCTATTTTGATGGATGCTTAATGGGTTTTTAATCTGGAGATTTATGTCTTTAAATCCCTTCTCCCTTTATCATTGTTTCTCACTCTTGCCCTCCACTGGACCTCATGTCCCTGAGTCCAGAGCCTTTCTGGTTAAACTTCTCCAGAGAACAATCCTCAGATATACTGAAGGATGGAGAGAATTTACTTGACTTTTTGAGTGAGATTGAGGATTTTGGGGTTTAACTGTTCATTCTCTTAATTAGAAAACAAAAAAACTAGCTGTCAAATGATTACAACTACTTTTGATATTATCTTCACTTGCTGAGTATTAATCTCAAATTTCTTAGTCTTTGGAGAATCTACCAGGCAAATCAGCTACGTTCTTAATTTCCTGATTCCTTTTCTTGCAGCTACCCAACCCCCTGTCTGTCAAGCATACTTTTTCTATTGGATCATTTACCATTACATCTTGTGTTCTTGTCCTCTCTCATTGTGGTTTGGGGTTTATGAATTCAATTCTTCTGGTTTCACTGATGTTAGTTTTTATTTCTGTTTCTCATTCTTCTTGTTTGCTAGTGCATTTAATTGTTTTACTTTTGTTTTATTGATTATGCTATTACAGTTGTCCCAATTTTCCCCCCTTTGCCCTATCCACCCAGCACCCCCCATTCCCTTAGGCAATCCCCACAACATTGTTCATGTCCATGGGTCATTTGTATAAGTTCTTTGGCTACTTCATTTCCTATACTGTACTTTACATCCCCATGGCTATTCTGTAACTACCTATGTGCACTTCTTAATTCCCGCAGCTTTTCACCAATTCCCCCTCCCATTTGGCAGCCATAAAACCA